AGTGTAGCAGTGTAGTGTTGTAGCAGTGTAGTGTTGTAGCAGTGTAGCAGTGTAGTAGTGTAGCAGCAGTGTAGTGTTGTAGCAGTGTAGTAGTAGTAGCAGTAGTAAGTAATCTTTATTTATATACCGCCTTTTCACTGCAGATCTGAGTCTCAAAGCGGTTTACAATTGTTAATTTTGGAGAGAGAGAGAGAGAGAGAAGACTGTGGAAAACAACTGTAAGAGACAAGGGAGAGAGAGAGAGAAAGAGAGCAGAGAGAGAGAGAAAGAGAGCAGATAGAGCAGAGAGAGAGCAGAGAGAGCAGAGAGAGAGAGAAAGAGAGCAGAGAGAGAGCAGAGAGAGAGCAGAGAGAGCAGAGAGAGAGCAGAGAGAGAGCAGAGAGAGAGCAGAGAGAGCAGAGAGAGCAGAGAGAGCAGAGAGAGAGCAGAGAGAGAGCAGAGAGAGAGCAGAGAGAGAGCCAACAGGAACATAAGCGGTTGTTGCTCTTGTTATCATCATGATGAGATGTGACAGGGACATGCATGATCCAAACATGTTTATTTTTAGTTGGTCAATCCTAACCTTGCCTGAAAGCTGAATTCTCGCGGTATTTGTGAGTTCACTAACACTCGAGAATACATCTTGTCCCGCTCCCTCCAACCCTTTTCGAGTAGAACATCTAGACCTGTGTTCAAGCCAATCACGCGCCAGTCTAGGGGTTTAGGGCGGGATATCCGGGTTTGACGAAAGCAAGAAGTGCCGGGCCGAAGCAAAACAAACATGGCTACGCAGGAGGACGGACGCGTAGCTGAGGCTATCAAGTCAGTTTTAGCAGAATCTCCAATTTCTTTTTTGAATGATGAACAGCGAGAGGCGCTTTGTGCATTTCTGGACGGCAAAGATGTTACCGGGATTGGTTTAAGTCAAACCTTGGTAGGCGGGCACACAGCATCACTTCGCCCAATCAGCTTCAAGTATTCTGCTGCTTATCCCTCCTTTCCCCGAAAGGATTCTCCTGCAGAAGTCCCAGATTGATATTGTGGAGAACGCATTAGAGTTCTACACAATCATCAATCTGGCTCTTGCCAGGTTAGGTCACTCCAGCTTTAAGATAAACCAGATTTCTAGACTAATAGAAACACTCCAGGCCTATGTAGGCAGACCAAGGCCAGTTTATATGTATAGCACAGTTCATACAGAAGGAAACTCTCCTCTGTGTGCACAAAAACACACACACAGCTACATACAGGCAGTGACACAAACACAAGGGTTCAACATCCGTGTGTGTGTGTGTGTGTATATGTGTGCCTGTGTGTGTCTGTGTATGTCTGTGTGCCTATGTTTGTGTGTGTCTGTGTGCACTTGTTTTCAACTCCTGGTGGGTTCCATAACCTGAGATTCCACTCACGTCATGGGGACTGGTTTTACGTGGTGGGGCCCGAACACCGGACCCCACTGGTCCAAGCTTAATAATCAATGGGTAATGCTTTTCTAACGGTCCTTATGCAGTCTCTGTAAAAATATGGAAAGGACCCCTGGAGGTTTACTTTCCTGAAAAAAGTGTGTTATGTGTCGGAACCCTGGTGGTGGGTTGCGGGATATCAAGGAGGGGCACACTGGGGCAATTTCAGTCCAGCAGGCTGGAGCCAATCATGGAGCAGCACAACAGAGGCTGGAGCCAATCATGGAGCAGCACAACAGAGGAAATCAGGTGTCAGGCTAGAAAAAGGTGCAAGTGTGTGGTTCATTAGGCTGCAGCCAATCACAGAGCAGCACACTGAAGCGCACGCTTACAAACCACTGGTAAGTGCTGACTACAAGTCATGACTTCAAATTGTTATATAGAATGATTACAAATTATTTGTTGTTTGTGCAGCTTAGTCAAGAGTCCCTAATTGATGAAGTCGACTCAGATTCTGACGATTTAACTGTCAAGAAGAAACCTGTAAAAAAGTATGGAAAAAGAAAAATCAAAAACACTTTTCTTCAAGACTCGGAAAGTGACGAACCAAAGGCAAATAAGATTGTTATCATGCAGCTGCAAAAGAAGAAAAATGGGGGGCGAGTATACAGCAAGAGACACTTCTGCCTCTACTGTTCAATGTCCTGCCACAAAATGTCCCGTCATTTGACTAGAAAACATGGAAATGAAAGTGACGTAGCCAGAGCATTGGCTCTACCTGTGAAATCTAAAGCACGTAAACTTCAGTTTGATTTGATCAGGAATAGTGGAAACCGTGAGCACAATTTTGAGGTTTTAAAGGCCGGCATTGGAACTTTAGTCCCAGCTAAACAGCCAAATTCCCCAGTTAAATCCAGTGAGTTTTTGCACTGTATAGACTGTGGGGCATTGCTTAAGCGAAAGTCGCTGTGGAGGCATGTGGCCAGGTGCCGGCTTTCACAGAAAGATGCCCAGGCTAAACCAGGCTAAACCAGGTAGAAGTAGGGTCCAGTCCCTCTGCTCCCTAGCCCAGCCTGTACCGGAGGGCATCAGCAAAAAGCTGTGGTCTTTAATTTCGGCAATGCATCAGGATGAGGTCACGGGTGTTGTCAAAGCAGAAAAGGGGATTCTGAGACTCGGAGAGCACCTGTAATTAAAGAAGCTATACCCGATATTTTTTCTAAGTAGTTCATAAAAATGCTTTTTACTACATACAAGTTGTATCATAATACATCATTTAATTGAAAACTTGAGGTAATTGATTCAGCTGTGTAAGAATTACAAGCAGTGAAAAGTGCTGAGTAGAGTCTGAGCGGGCCGCTCTTTCTCCTCCGCTCACAGAACGAGCAGTGACCAGCCTGCGTCCTCTAGTCTCTACAGCGCTGCTTAACACCAGGGCTTCGACTTCAAAATTCGAATATAATTCTAAAATAAAAAATGATGAACAAAATAATTGAATACAAAAATGTGAACAAATATTAGACAACCCTTGTAATTCGAAATGTATTTAATGACTGCAAATAAAATAGTTAGCTCCCAAAGGTTTCACCGGGACGTGCTAGGCAGGTAACAGCTAAGCTAGCTAGTTGTTTCATGGTAACTTCCGGGTTTTTCGCAATCGCCTTTTGTCACATTGAAACAGTATTTTTGTCATGAAAACGTTAACAGCAAATTCTGAAATCATCCGTGCATGTGTGTTAAGGATGTATATGTGTACTGTATTGTCCGATTGACGTTTAATGGTGTTGATTGATAGATATGTAGTTGTTTATTGAGCGTGGCTAGCTCCGCTAGCTCCGTTGGCTTCTCTACACAGACAAGTGTATAGTGACAGGCGCTGATAGCTTGTTGTACTTGCAGAGTAATGGCAGTATTTTACACACCTGAATTACAAACAGAGGTTGCATTGGGGCTGCGGTCATTATTGGTTTGAGAGTTCTGTTATCAAGAAAAAATGATCGGAAGAATTGCTGCTGCTGTTTTGAGGAGCTCTATAACACATTATAATTAAATATTAGAATATATTCTTATGCTTATATATGCTTACAAGAAGTTGCGCTAATGCTAATGTTAGCATATGTATCAGATCGCAAATAAAACTAGGTGGCTCTGTGTTATGAGAGCGTAGGGGAAATGAGAAGCCATTGAGCGAGTTGGGGGGCGGTGCTAAACATTCAAACATTGCAGAAACGGGTATAGCGCCTTTAAAACACGGGCATGATAAGACTAAGCATGATTACATTAGGCAGAAAATGAGAGAAGTCGGTAGGTTAATTAACGAAGCAAAAACTGCAGGGAAACTGAAAACAATTAAGGATTTCTTTATTCCTATAACTTTAACCATGTGATTGATGCAGTCAGGTCTGTGGCTGGATATGATGAGGAAACAAATCAATACAAGACTCCATCCTTGGCCCTCAAACTCGGCCATAGCCTCAGAAAGCAGATATTCTTGAATGTGACTCAAAAATGGAGCATTGTGTTGATGAACTATTTATTAAAAACCTCCAACGAAGCCGGCTGCTTTTTGAGAAGAGGTGGGACGTCTGTGTTTCTTCTGCTGCCCTACAGACCCTCCGGCAAGCCAAGTGGAACACTCCGGACCTGCTCCCTCTGACTGAGGACGTTAGAGCCATGCATGCACATATTGAGGTATGTCGACCTGAATATGTGCAAACCCTAATAAGTGAGCCAACGTCTAAGCATTGGTCTAAACTGGCAGTTTTGACTCTTTGTGAGGTCATCATTTTCAATCGAAGAAGGGAAGGTGAGGTTTCAAAGATGCCACTGACAGCCTTTACCTTAAGAAGTAAGACTGGGATCCATTCTGACATTGCTCTGGGACTGTCCCAACTTGAGAAAAAGCTGTGTCAGCATTTTCAACGCATTGAAATTAAAGGGAAAAGAAGTCGGAAAGTGCCGGTTCTTTTGACTCCTGAAATGATTGCTTCGATGGAGGTGCTGGTGGTGAACAGAAGGGCCTGTTCCATCTCTGACCATAACCCATACTTCTTCTCCCGCCCGGGCGCAGACACCCACATCAGGGGATCAGACTCCCTACGGCAGGTAGCCAAAGAATGTGGTGCGGTGCATCCAGAGATGCTATCCTCAACCAAACTTAGAAAGCACATAGCTACTATGTCTACAGTTCTCAATATGAAAGAGAATGCAATGGACATACTAGCCAACTTCCTCGGCCATGACATTCGCATCCACAGACTACCAGAGGGGACACTGGAGCTGGCCAAAATCAGCACCCACCAGGTAACAAAAACGTGTATGTGTGTGTGTGTGTGAGAATGATTGGTGATGATGGGAGGGGCCGATGGCACAGACAGACCCCAAGCCAACTGTGGCTACAGTAGTAATTTACCACCACTGTTTGAATGAATGATGACATGTGAAGAGTTTTTGAGCGTCCGAAAAGCTGATAAAACCCATGCATTATTTTTACTACTGCTGATAAGTATTACAACTGCTGCTAGGACAAAAACAGGTAGAGCAGGGCAAAGCGAAACAGGGCTTATATATTTTAAAGTATATTGGGCCAGGGAGAGACCATTGGGGGACCCCTGCTCCTTACACCCCTTCTCCTCCCCTCTGCTCCTTGGGGAATACCTCGTTGCTGAAGCACTTGGTGGTGATGTATTCTTTGGATGTGGCGATGACGCTGGCGCTGGGCAGAACGGCGTAGGCCACGAGGGTCACTGCAGGTGCCAGGTCAGGAGTGATCTCCATAAAAAAGGAGATATCTCCCCGAGTCACTGTCAACGAAGAGGAAATCATTCAGACTGGCATTCGTACAGTAGTAGTTGTAGTGGTAATAGTGGTAGTAATGGTCGTAGTTGTGGTAGTAGTAGTAGTAGTGGTAAGAAGAAAAAAAAATAGTAGTAGTAATGGTACCACTACTACTACTACAACTTTTTTTCATTCTTCTTTTTGCAATATTACTCATGATTTTAGAGCGTTTGCATTTGAGTCTCAGCTCTTCAGCTGTAGCGTGAGCGCACCTGTTACTCTTTTCAGTATTCGGTTTTGAAAATGCCTCCAGTATCAGCTCACTGTCCTACTACCAATAATACTGCAACTGCGAGTAGAGTAGATCTTACTTGTGTCCATGTAGTTGGAGTACTGTCCATATTTGACGATGTTGCCTCTGGACAAGAGCTGAAAGAAACACAGGGAGACCCATGTGATATTGCTTCTACAACTGTTGCTACTACTGCAGGGGTTAAAGCAAAAAAAAAAAAGATTTGACTGAAAATGTTCTCATGGAAATGTATCACATGTAAATCAGTCATATGCAGGACCAAGTTATATCTTTATTACTAATACTATATATTATTGTATAATGAATTACAGATCAAATTAATCCTTCAAAGATATACAGGTGTATTTTGATGTGAAATTACAACAAGTGGATCAAGAAACTTGTCAACTTTTTGACAGAATATTAGTAAGAGTAATAGATGGAAACACTGGCTCTGTCCTCGTCAAAATATCACTAAAGGACATTCAAAATTCTGTCCACATTTGTTTTTGGACTCGTCAATGTTTAAGAAAAATGTTTCCCTATCAAGTTGGTGGCTAGTGCACCGTGCACTCTGATCAACCGCAAATGATTTAATTAAATCTACCAATTAAATCTTCTGAACGACAGGTTATTTTCTGTGATAAAGCCAGACTCTTAGTTTTAGGTCACAGACACGATCCGCCAAGCCTAGTCTCAGTTGTCGCTGATGCACCAGGTAAAGATGAAGTGTGGGAAAGTGCACGAGCACCTGCCTTGTGCGCAGTTTTGAGCCGGTGGCGAATCAAAACTTTTTTCTCATAACTCCCATATAAAAAAGTGTATGGCGAAGTACGAACAAGCACCGGCCACCTTCCTCTTTTTGCACCATGAAGCAACAGAATCCCATCGTCTCCACCTCATCCAGCCATGCCCACCTCCATTTATTTTTCACTCCGTGGTCAATTTCAACTTGAACTGCTCCTTCCATAAACAACGATCCATGATTGTGATTGTGCGTACATGCTTTGATAACTGAATATAAGACCCGCTAACACACCACACCGTTCTTCAGAAAGTTTCTTCCGTTCGCTCTCGTTGATTGGCTCTTTTATATCACGCTGAGTTTTGCATGCGGATCGCAACCAAGACATTATCAAAAGCTTACCAAAGCATTGCGTTTAGGTCCTACCTTTCCTCTGGTAACGCGCCTAGCTTACCGGTCCGCGGGGCTGCTGGCTGTTATTGCTCCGTTCGGGATTCAATTTTCCTTCTCCTCTTCTCCTTTTCAAAAGCTCCGTCCAGTTTCCAGAAACTTTCACCTCCGTGTTACCAATGCTAACTTGGCCGCGTCTTCATTTGCGCGTGAGGTCAGCTACGTCCCATTGCCTTGATTCATTTGCGGAGCGCTCATGTAGCTGTGGCCACGGCACGTTCATGGCCCACTCGTGATTATATGACTTTTTATATACATATAAATACAATTATATTCCAATTATTATTATATATGTATAGATATATATATAACAGATACACACGTATATGTATTACTGTATATTATTTTTTTATAATAAACCATTTCATTGTGTGAATTATTATTATCATATATATATATTTTTTTTCAGACCAATTTCATTTGACGGAAATCCGTCACCTAGACTGAACTCTTTAATCCCTCTACTACTACTACTACTACTACTACTGCTACTGATTGTTGTAGTAGAAGATGTGCGCCAAAGGAGATCCAGGTGTTCCTCCACAGAGACTCAGACCTCACTGCGACCCAGACCTCGCTGAGACGCAGACCACACTGAGACCCAGACCACACTGAGACCCAGACCACACTGAGACCCAGACCACACTGAGACCCAGACCACACTGAGACCCAGACTTCACTGAAACCCAGACCTCAGAGAGACCCAAACATTTTGTGTATTCCAGTGTGGTTCTATTTCATCCCTTCAGACCGCCAGAGGGCGGTGCATAGCACTGAATGTTCCCTTCGCGCATGCGCAGTTCGAGTAATAATACCAAATGAGTCACACCTGTGACCCCCTGGGTGACACACCGGAGGTAATAAAGTCCAGCGTCATCCAGCACTCTGTTCCTTTTTTCTTCTCGCGTGCGGTTCGAATCGTTGCTGCTTGAACTTCATCAACGTCTGTCGCTAAAAGCCCTCTTCATCGGAGCTGCGGTTCGCCCTCCGAGGGCGCGACGGTGACGTTGTCCTTTGGGTATTTATTGGTGTTTTCTGTACTATATACGTGATGTATTGGTTGGTGTGAAGGCTGCTGTGGCGCCCGCTCCTCCGTCAGTACTTTCTTTTGGTACATGCATTTCGTGGTGTGAAGGCTGCTGTTCGTTGGCCTGCTCCTCCGCCTGTGCATGTTTGAGTTAGCTTTTGCTAACTGTGTATTGAGTGGTGTGAGGCTGCGGTTCGTTAGCCCGCTCCTCCATCGGTTCTTATTTGGGTTAGCCTTTTGCTACCTGTGTATTGTGTGGTGTGAGGCTGCGGTTCCGCTCCTCCATCAGTTCTTAGTTGGGTTAGTTTTTGCTACCCGTGTCCTCTGTGGTGTGAAGGCTGCTGTTCGCGCGCCCGCTCCTCCATCAGTTCTTCTTTGGGTTAGTTTTTGTTACCGGTGTCCTCTGTGGTGTGAAGGCTGCGGTTCGTTGTCCCGCTCCTCCATCAGTTCTTGTTTGGGTTAGCATTTGCTGCCTGTGTTTATTCTGTGGCCGGTGTGTTGTGTGGTGTGAAGGCTGCTGTTAGCGCGCCCTCTCCTCCATCACTACTTTATTTGAGTTGGCATTTTACTGCCGGTGTATTGTGTGGTGTGACGGCTGCTGTTAGCGCGCCCTCTCCTCCATCACTACTTTATTTGAGTTGGCATTTTACTGCCGGTGTATTGTGTGGTGTGACGGCTGCTGTTCGCGCGCCCTCTCCTCCATCACTTCTTTCTTCGAGTGGCATTTTGCTGCGGGTGCATTGTGTGGTGTGAAGGCTGCTGTTCGCGCGTCCGCTCCTCCACCGTGCTATATTTGGCTTTTCTGTTGTGAAACTGCAGTACGTTGATTCGGTTCTGCAGTTTGAATACCGTTTGGGATTAATTACATATTGAATTAACAACAGACAGTGAAAAAAAAATAAAAAATAAAAAATAAAAAAACTTTTATAATAATAATAAAAAAAAAAAAAAAACCTTGTTGTTATGGACGGGTCACATGCGTGTGTGGGCTGCGGGTCAGCACTCGATGTTGATGACGGCCATGACCTGTGTCCGGCGTGCCTCGGCCCCACTCACTTGAGGGAGGCAGTGTCCGATAACCCGTGCATGAACTGCAGCTGCTTGCCCTGGGCTGTTAGGGTGACGAGGCTGGTTCAGCTGCCTTCGTCTGGCGACGGTGATAGTTTGCCAGTGGGACCTGCTGTGGCTCCGCCCCCTCTGCGTTCTAAGCGCCGTGCTGAGGCCTGTGCTTCAGGGGAACGGTCTGATGGCCATGGTCCTTCCAAGCAGGCCAAGCCGGATGCTGTCCTGGTGTCGAGGGTGGAGCAGTTATCTGCAGAGTTGGAGGCGATGAAATCTGCATTCCAGGCACGTTGTGCTGCTGATGCCGTCTCTGGGGCTGGTTCTTGCTCCATGCCATCCCTCCATCCGGAAGAGGATGTGCTTTCTCTGGCGGCATCTGCTTCGTGCTTCCGGGACGAGGATGACGCGCGGTCCCTTTTGGGGGACGATGCTTATTCTTCCGCACATAGTGTGTCCAGCCGGTCTGGTGACGGCTCATGCAGGAGGTTCTTCGCAGGGCCTTATCCTGACCCTGGCAGTGCTTTTTTCAGGCGTGGTGGTTCGTCTCCTGCTTTTGTTGTGCCCCCGTCCGCGGAGTATCTGAAGGAGCTACACGCGTGCTGGAGGGACCCCAGCCGTCTCTCTAAGCTTTCGGCTGAGGGTCGGGCTTTGGCCGCGATGCACGATGCCTCTTCGGCTGGCCTGGATTGCATGCCGGCTGTTGAGCCGGCGGTTGCCTCCCTCATTGTTTCCCCGGAGGAGTCCTTGCGGGAGAATGTGAGGTGCCCTCGGAGCCAGTGTCGTGCGACGGATCACTTGCTAACAAAGGCCTACAATTCTGGTGCTCGAGCTGGCCGTATTGGTAACTCCCTCCAAGAGGGTAGTGCTGTGGGCAGCATGCATTTGCCTTGATGACCAGGGAACTCGGACGGGTCATGTCGGTCCTTGTACAGGCTCATACTGAGCCAGCCAGGTATGGCTCGGGATCCGTGGGTGGTTGCCACATTGACCCACGGATACCGTCTGCAATTCCGACGCCGGCCGCACTTGTCGGGCCGGGTCAAGGTTACTTTGATCTCGGACCCGGCAAAAGCCTTTATCTTGGATCAGGAGCTCTCCGCCCTCCTGACCAAGGGTGCCATCGAGGCGGTAGATCCGCTGCTGCAACCCAGGGGTTATTACTCCCGTTATTTTCTCGTGCCCAAGAAGACGGGGGGTTTTCGACCAATTTTGGATTTGAGGGGCTTGAATCATTTCCTGAAGGTCATTCCGTTTCGCATGCTGACGACTGCGGAAGTCCTTCAGACTGTTGGGGCCGGGGAATGGTTCACGTCCATAGATTTGAGGGACGCGTATTTTCACGTGCGGTTCCTCCGGTTCGCCTATTGGGGCGTTCACTGGCAGTTCAGGGTTCTTCCCTTTGGCCTCTCTCTCTCTCCGAGGGTTTTCACTCGATGCGTGAAGGCCAGTGGCATGAAGGTGTTACCTTATCTGGACGATTGGCTGATCTGCGCCCCGTCCAGGGCACGGTCCTTGGAAGATACGGAGCGCCTTCTGACTCATGTCGCCCGCTTGGGTTTCAGGGTCAATTTCGAAAAGAGCAGCCTGGTGCCTTCGCAGGCCGCTGTTTTTCTTGGCCTGAGTCTGAACACGGTGACTATGACGGCGCGTCCGTCGGTGCGCCGCCTGGTCGACATCCACGGTGTGGTGTCCCGTTTCGGTCTTGGCACCCTGCACAGTTACGTCAGCTTTCTACAGCTGGTGGGGAAGCTGGCCTCGATCTCTCGTGTGGTTCCACTCGGGCTGCTTTCGCTTCGCCCGTTGCAGAGGTGGCTGAACGGGTTTTGTTTGGATGCCGTTCGTCACCGCCACAGACGGTTACAGGTGACGTGGGCATGTTTTCGTGCTTTGGCTCCATGGAGGGACCGGGGTCTCCTGTCACGTGGGGTCCCCTTGGGGGTGGTAGTGTGCCGCAGGGAAGTGGTCACCACCGACGCCAGCCGTACGGGATGGGGTGCTGTGTGGCAGCACAGGTTGGCCCGAGGGGTTTGGTCTCGGGCGGAGCACTCAGACCACATAAATGTACTGGAGCTTCGGGCCGTCCACCTTGCTCTCCAGGAGTTTTTGCCTCACCTGCTGGGGAAACATGTCCTCATTCGTTCGGACAACACCTCGGTCGTGTATCACATCAACCATCAAGGGGGTGTCCGATCGGCTCGGCTCCTCGAGGTGTCTCAGGCTCTGCTGGTTTGGGATGCGCCTCGCCTGTCTACACTGCGTGCAGTGTATCTGCCGGGGGACTGCAATCGCGTGGCGGACTCCCTGTCTCGCGGGAGGCCTGCCCCGGGGGAATGGTGTCTCCACCCCAGTGTGGTCCAGAGGGTGTGGGGCCTTTTTGGTCGGGCACAGGTGGACCTATTCGCTTCGGTGGCCTCCACTCATTGCCCTCAGTTTTTTTCCCTGGACGGGGCTCCGGGCTCTCTCGGCCAGGATGCCCTGGCGCACAGTTGGCCTCAGGCCCTCCTGTATGCCTTCCCCCCTTTTCCTCTGATCTGGCCAACCCTCCAGAGGGTCCTTCGGGCGGGGCACAGTTTATTACTGGTGGCTCCATTTTGGCCTGCACGGCCCTGGTTTCCACTGCTACTCAGACTTTGTTGGGCTCCCCCCTGGCCTCTCCCTCCCAGGCGGGATCTGCTCTCACAGCTGGACGGTCAGGTGTGGCATCCCTGTCCTCACCGCCTCAAGTTATGGGTATGGCCGTTGGCTGGCCCGAGCTGCGGGCACTCGATGTCACTGGCCCTGTCAGGCGTACACTCCTGAATGCCAGGGCGGCCTCTACTCTGCGGCTGTATGAGAACAGGTGGAAGTTGTTCTCCCGCTGGTGTTCTTCCCGCGGTCGGGATCCCGTGTCGTGCCCGGTGGCGGTTGTCCTGGAATTCCTTCAGTCTCTCCTGGATGAAGGTCGGGCCCCATCTACTCTGAAGGTATATGTTGCTGCTATTTCATGTTATCATGGCCAGGTTGATAACTGTACTGTGGGGGGCCATAACCTGGTGTCTCTCTTTTCACGCGGAGCTCGTAGGCTGCACCCTCCCGTGCCCGCGCGGTCTCCGGTTTGGGACCTGGCCTTGGTGTTGGAGTCTCTCTGCCGCCCTCCGTATGAGCCATTGGCCCGAACGGACCTCAAGTGGCTCTCCTATAAGACTGCTTTCCTGTTGGCTGTGGTCTCTGCAAAAAGGGTCGGTGAGTTGCATGCACTTTCTGTCAGTCCCTCATGCCTACACTGGGATCCCGAGAAGGCTGGCGTGGTCTTGTGGCTCCCCTGGATGGTGGTGAGGACAGACTGCACCTGCTGTGTCCTGTGAGGGCATTGGAGGCCTACGTTGCTGCGACGGCGGGTGTGAGGCGCTCAGACCAGCTCTTTGTTGCCTATGGTGGTGCTAGACTGGGAAGTCCACTTTTGAAGCAACGCCTTTCCCACTGGGTGGTTGACGTTATCAATCAGGCGTATGTTTCGGCCGGCCGCGACCCGCCAGCCACGGTGAGGGCCCATTCTACCAGGGGTGTCTCTACCTCCTGGGCCGCTATGCGCGGGGTGCCGTTGGGAACTATTTGTGCTGCTGCGTCTTGGGCTACACCAAGCACGTTCACCAGATTCTACAACATCAATGTGGCCACTCCGGCTCCTCTTGGCGTGGTCCTTCAGGAATCCTCTGGCTCTCCTCCGTGAGGTGTGTGGTTAGATCCTTCGTGACATAGCTGGTATAAGGTCATTCAGTGCTATGCACCGCCCTCTGGCGGTCTGAAGGGATGAAATAGAACGAGGGTTACGTATGTAACCACGGTCTATGAATCCCGGATGACCGCCAGAGGCGCTCTGTCACTCAGGGTCCTTGCATCCGCGAGAAGATTCTGCAGGAACAGAGTGCTGGATGACGCTGGACTTTATTACCTCCGGTGTGTCACCCAGGGGGTCACAGGTGTGACTCATTTGGTATTATTACTCAAACTGCGCATGCGCGAAGGGAACATTCAGTGCTATGCACCGCCCTCTGGCGGTCATCCGGGATTCATAGAACCGTGGTTACATACGTAACCCTCGTTTTACTGCAGATAATATAATAAACTGAATGTGAATCTCTCAGCGTTCCTCACCAGGTAGATGATGTGCAGCTGGCCCTGGCCCTCACCAACGATGCTGTAGCTGAGGTTGAGGGTCTCCTGGGCCCCGCAGACCAGGGGCCGGTCCTCAGCCTGCACCTCCAGAGAAGAGCTGGTCCTGGTGTGGAGCGACGTCTGCTGGATCTCTGTCAGATGCAGCGAGGCCAGGGCGAAGTGCGGCCTCATGAGGGTGTGGGTGTACATCTTATAGACACTGGCCTGAGCAGGGAACACAGGTATACAGCTCTTGAATCAGCTTCAGACACAGGTACACAGCTCTTGTATCAGCTTCAGACACAGGTACACAGCTCTTGTATCAGCTTCAGACACAGGTACACAGCTCTTGAATCAGCTTCAGACACAGGTGCACAGCTCTTGTATCAGCTTCAAACACAGGTACACAGCTCTTGAATCAGCTTCAGACACAGGTACACAGCTCTTGTATCAGCTTCAGACACAGGTATACAGCTCTCCCATCAGCTTCAGTATGTGCTCACCTTGACAGTGAAGGAGCCCTGGAAGAGGCTGGTGTTGAGTTTGAAGCTGGCCAGTCCATTGTCGTCAGTCTTCAGAGTCTGCAGCAGGTCGAAGGACTCTTTCAGCAGGTGGACCTCTGTGTCAACCGCCGCAGTGTCGTTATGGTGCTGCACCTTCACCTGGGTTAGAAGAAAATGTGTTAATAGTGTCTCCTCCATGCAGGGCCGGCCCAGGGTATAGCCATCTGCAGGATGGGGTGCAAAATTGCAGTCTTCAAAAAAAAAGTTTCCTTCTATATTATTGTGCTAGGTGTTTCCCATCACGTAAGATTGAAAAACACAGTTTATGTATACTATAAACTTAATCAAAATTGTCATCATTGAACCCTGCTGCTGTAGGCTGCACTTTTGTCACGCCAAGGTGAGTGGGGAGGGGAAGCCTCGCGCATCCCAGAAAGTGTGAAAGATTGTGGACGTGTTTTTGGTTAACGTTATGAAATGGCAGTCAAAGCAGCCAAACGCTAAAGAAAAGAAGGGAATTAAAAACAGGCTCTAAGTAGAGGTATGAACAGAGACATGCAGCATATGGACAGATGAGAGTCTAAGCTCTGGTTTGATCTTTAAAGGAGCAGTATGTAAAAATCTGGCCAAAAGTGGTACTGCAGTCACAGTCAATATTTTATAGTCCTCTCCCACTCTCCCTGACTCAGGTTGCCAGATACACACCAAATCCAGCAGCAAACACAAGGAATTATTTTATCAGTTGTTTGTCTGTCTTTCACATTGCCATGAGCCGTGCTAATGTTGAATTAATGTTTTGATTAATGTTTTTTATTATTATTATTTGGACATTTGAGATAAAAAACAAAAACAAAATCATAATAAAGCAATTTAATTATACATAGATTATGCAAAATAAATAAGCAATTGATGTCCAAAATAGGATATCACCTTTCAATTTAATTTATTCCCTATTTTTTAGACATACATGTATAAGTCCCACATCAAATAGAGACTAACATTATTTTAATTGGGGTACTTGTGGTCTCAAATGATTATTTTTTACAATTAAGCTATAATCTGCAAAAAACATCATGATCTTAGTTTTTGACCGTTTTTTGAGCAATCTGTCAAAATATGTGATATAATGCATACAGACACCACTTGGACTTGAACCCAGATCGCTGGGGTGCAAGCGCAACAGCCTAACCACTACACCATCGTCACACTTATTCTTAAATGCCGGATGCAGAATCGGCTCAAAGCATTAAGTTTTGCATCACACAAAAAGTTTTTTCCGCTGTCTCAATCCTGATATAAATCCTCGTTTTAGTCTTTGTATTGTCATTAAAGGACAGCTCACCCTAAAATCCACTTTTTTATGCTGATAAACGGTATAAATGAGTGTCCAATAGTGTTTTCTACATATCCTGGTCATAATTTTGTCACTTTGGTGCAAATTAGTTGAAAGTTAAACTTTCTGCCTAAAACCGTCAGTGAGGCGCCATCTGCTGGCGACCTGTATTACTACATTTGAATTTTGAATCTGGCGCCAACATTGGCGCAGCAGTTGTTTCTGACGTCTGAGGTTGTTTCTGACGTCAGTTGCACTGCTGCCCTGAGGTATATAAACGGCCCAGTCGAAGGAGGATGATGGCGGCGAGGCGGTAAGCACTGTGGCAGAGCAGCTCCCGACTTTTGTGGGGGAAAAAAGCATCTTTCATCTCAACTGAAGACACGCACTATAATGAGTAACCCCTCGACCAAGCGCAAAAGTGAAAACAAACCACCTGTGACTCCGACTAAATCTCTTAACAACAAAAAAGGTAAAATGGAGCAAGAAACCGCGGACAGCATAGTGGCGGCGCTAAAGCTAGCTATCGAAGAGCAAGGTTCTACCATCGGAAAGTCCATTGATGAGCTGAAACGATCTGTTGATTTTCTCTCGGCAGAGGTACAAGACATAAAAGGGACAGCAAGGAAAACTGAACAAAGAGTAGACAAAGCTGAAGAAATGATCCAACAGCTTGAAAGCAAAGTGGTTGAATTGGCGCGTTACAAGCGTAGATGGAATTTACGTTTGCGCGGGCTGCAAGAGAGAGAAGATGAAGAAGTGAGGCGCGCTGTGATTGAGATTTGTCAAAACGTAGCCCCAGGCTACAAGGACAAATTTAAGGATGTGATAGACTCTGTGCATAGGCTCGGTAGACCCAATTCAACCAGGTCCCAACCGAGAGATATTATCATCCAGTTCTCTATGAGGCACTATTGCGACGCCATTTGGAAGATGTCAAAGAACCATGATCATCTGAAACAACGACTTCTGCGCTTCAAGGAGGACCTGACGGCGGAGGACCGCGAAAAACGAAATCGTTTGTGGCCCCTCATCCAGAAGGCCCGGGAGGAAAAGAAGATTGCCTACTTTGTCGGGGGAAGAGCCTTTATCGACAACAAAGAAATATTTTGACATTAAGATGCTGATCTCAACTTCATAAGGGAATAAGCTCTGCCTTCTCATGTCACTTCTTTCCAAGTTAAAGAAGGAACTGTTCTGACTGTTTTTTATTTTTTATTTAAACATTTCTCTGTTGAAATTTATTTCTGTTAATGCTCGAGGCTTAAGGGACATTTCTAAACGCAAGGCAATTTTTCTCTATGCTAAAAACTTTGATGCAGACTTTTGTTTAATTCAGGAATCCCACTCATCTGATGAAGATTATAAGTTTTGGAAGTCACAATGGGGAGAGGACATTTGGATGTCACATGGCAATCACCACTCAGCAGGAACTCTCACTTTGAAACATAAATTCAACGGAAAGGTTATTTCTACTCATACAGACTTAAATGGTCATTATACTCTCCTGGTATTTGCTCATAATAATCAGATATTTCTCTTGGGGAATGTGTATGGCTATACTAATGTAAAGGAAAACAAAGATCTAATTCTAGATTTAAATGACAAAATAGCAAGTATTATTGAAAAGTTTCCAGATGTAAAGATAATTTTCGGGGGAGATTTCAATTGTACATTTAATGATGAAATTGACAGGTATCCTAACAGACAAAAAGTTAATGATTATTTGAATGAGTTTATCAATGAAAGAGGCCTAGTGGATATATGGAGAATCAACAATCCGAATAGCAGAGAATTTACTTGGAAAAATAGAGTTGGTTCGCTACAATCCAGAATTGATTTCTGGTTAGTTTCCGAATGTTTAACTCAATTAAAATGCAAAAGCGAAATTATTCCAACTCCTTTAACTGACCATAAAGCTATTTCACTTACCTTACAGATATCAACAAATGGTGAGCCCAAAAGATGTCCAGCCTATTGGAAACTTAACAACTATCTTTTACTAAATGATGCACTTTGTGAGTTGGTAAACAATAAAATCTCTCAATTCTTTAAAATGGCAGAGACCGCAGGTGAATATCAAAAATACTGGGAGCTCCTAAAATTTGAACTGAGGACGTTATTTATGAAAACTGGAGCAAAACTTAAAAAAGAGAAGAAAAAAGAAGAAAATGACCTAATCAATAAACTAGTCTCTTTATCTTCTATCTTACCAGAAAATATGTCTGATTCTCAACAAGCTCAGGCTTCAACACTCCAGTTAAATTTAGATAAGCTTTACATCAATAAAGCTAAAGGAGCCTTTATTCGATCCAAAGCAAAATGGTTAGAAGAAGGTGAACAAAACTCAAGTTACTTTTTTAAACTAGAAAAACAAAGGCAAACAAAAAATAACATAAACAGACTTTCCATTAATGGTGCCGTCACAGAAAATCCCAAAACTATTTCTAAATTTTGTGAACATTTTTACAAAGATCTATACAAATCCAACTTCTCACTAATGCATATGAATGAATTCTTTAAGCATGTAGATCAGGTGAAATTTATTGGGGATTCAAATCAAGCAATTTGTGACTCACCAATTACAGCTTTGGAGATATTTGATGCTATTAAAAAGCTTAAACTGAACAAATCTCCAGGTACAGACGGGTTAACCTCTGAGTTTTATAAAGCCTTTTCTCCTCAGCTTGCTCCATTTCTTTTAAAAGTATTTTCAGAAAGTATAAACAAAGAACAACTTCCACCTTCACTATGCCAAGGCTTGATTACCTTAATTCCCAAACCTCATAAAGATCATCAGAATCAGAATCAGAATCAGAATCATTTTTATTGCCACGTAAGTAACAGGAGGTCACAGACTAGGAAATTGCTTTGGCTCAGTGCAACAGTCAAAAAGAGATAATAAAAATAATAATAAAAAACACTTCTAAAGAATAAATTTAAATTTAAAATAGAGTTACAGTTACTATTTACAATATACAAGTGAGACATAAAATGTCCGAGACATAAAAATTGAACTTGAGATGAGTAAATCCTAATCCTTTTTTTTACTATATATATATTTGGAGAAAGTAACTTAACCCTTTAAGCGCCAGAGGTTTTTTTCCAAACGCTCGATTTTGACATCTTAATTTCAAAAGGCTATAACTTAGTACTAGAATTTAATATGCTGCTATCCAGAATATATAACTACAATATGTGTTTATAATATTTCGGGTGTTCATTTTGACATGTTCAGATGAATTATGTTAAAAAAACGGCTTTGAAGTAGCACTTTTTCACTTCCGCATAGAAACGCTAGGGGGGGCCAAAATGGCGGCGATGACGTAGGAGAAGGCCATCTCACAGCAGCAGCAGTCTTAGCTAAATAAATCTAAGGCAACCAAAGACTGGCATAATGTAAAACCGAATATTAGCCTTGTTAGCATGTTTTATGATATCAAGTAGAGTTAGCTAACTTGCCCAACACTAATTAGCTTGAATCTCACAAATAAGGCTAAAAGGTTAAAAGAGTTGCACTCTATGTACAAAACGGATGAAAATATGTTTATACCTTGTTCAGATGACAGTAAAACCTCCTACAGTTTCCAGCCAAGACCTCTGTCCGCTGCTGTGAGAGGTCATTCTCCTACGTCATCGCCGCCATTTTGGCGCCCCCTAGCGTTTGTTAAAAGGTGCCACTTCAAAGCCGTTTTTTAACATAATTCATCTGAACATGTCAAAATGAACACCCGAAATATTATAAACACATATTGTAGTTATATATTCTGGATAGCAGCATATTAAATTCTAGTACTAAGTTATAGCCTTTTGAAATTAAGATGTCAAAATCGAGCGTTTGGAAAAAAAACCTCTGGCGCTTAAAGGGTTAAGGTTACTTTCTCCAAATATATATATAGTAAAAAAAGGATTAGGATTTACTCATCTCAAGTTCAATTTTTATGTCTCGGACATTTTATGTCTCACTTGTATATTGTAAATAGTAACTGTAACTCTATTTTAAATTTAAATTTATTCTTTAGAAGTGTTTTTTATTCTTATTTTTATTATCTCTTTTTGACTGTTGCACTGAGCCAAAGCAATTTCCTAGTCTGTGACCTCCTGTTACTTACGTGGCAATAAAAATGATTCTGATTCTGATTCTGATTCTGATGATCTTTATGAGGTTTGGGAATTAAGGTAATCAAGCCTTGGCATAGTGAAGGTGGAAGTTGTTCTTTGTTTATACTTTCTGAAAATACTTTTAAAAGAAATGGAGCAAGCTGAGGAGAAAAGGCTTTATAAAACTCAGAGGTTAACCCGTCTGTACCTGGAGATTTGTTCAGTTTAAGCTTTTTAATAGCATCAAATATCTCCAAAGCTGTAATTGGTGAGTCACAAATTGCTTGATTTGAATCCCCAATAAATTTCACCTGATCTACATGCTTAAAGAATTCATTCATATGCATTAGTGAGAAGTTGGATTTGTATAGATCTTTGTAAAAATGTTCACAAAATTTAGAAATAGTTTTGGGATTTTCTGTGACGGCACCATTAATGGAAAGTCTGTTTATGTTATTTTTTGTTTGCCTTTGTTTTTCTAGTTTAAAAAAGTAACTTGAGTTTTGTTCACCTTCTTCTAACCATTTTGCTTTGGATCGAATAAAGGCTCCTTTAGCTTTATTGATGTAAAGCTTTATCTAAATTTAACTGGAGTGTTGAAGCCTGAGCTTGTTGAGAATCAGACATATTTTCTGGTAAGATAGAAGATAAAGAGACTAGTTTATTGATTAGGTCATTTTCTTCTTTTTTCTTCTCTTTTTTAAGTTTTGCTCCAGTTTTCATAAATAACGTCCTCAGTTCAAATTTTAGGAGCTCCCAGTATTTTTGATATTCACCTGCGGTCTCTGCCATTTTAAAGAATTGAGAGATTTTATTGTTTACCAACTCACAAAGTGCATCATTTAGTAAAAGATAGTTGTTAAGTTTCCAATAGGCTGGACATCTTTTGGGCTCACCATTTGTTGATATCTGTAAGGTAAGTGAAATAGCTTTATGGTCAGTTAAAGGAGTTGGAATAATTTCGCTTTTGCATTTTAATTGAGTTAAACATTTGGAAACTAACCAGAAATCAATTCTGGATTGTAGCGAACCAACTCTATTTTTCCAAGTAAATTCTCTGCTATTCGGATTGTTGATTCTCCATATATCCACTAGGCCTCTTTCATTGATAAACTCATTCAAATAATCATTAACTTTTTGTCTGTTAGGATACCTGTCAATTTCATCATTAAATGTACAATTGAAATCTCCCCCGAAAATTATCTTTACATCTGGAAACTTTTCAATAATACTTGCTATTTTGTCATTTAAATCTAGAATTAGATCTTTGTTTTCCTTTACATTAGTATAGCCATACACATTCCCCAAGAGAAATATCTGATTATTATGAGCAAATACCAGGAGAGTATAATGACCATTTAAGTCTGTATGAGTAGAAATAACCTTTCCGTTGAATTTATGTTTCAAAGTGAGAGTTCCTGCTGAGTGGTGATTGCCATGTGACATCCAAATGTCCTCTCCCCATTGTGACTTCCAAAACTTATAATCTTCATCAGATGAGTGGGATTCCTGAATTAAACAAAAGTCTGCATCAAAGTTTTTAGCATAGAGAAAAATTGCCTTGCGTTTAGAAATGTCCCTTAAGCCTCGAGCATTAACAGAAATAAATTTCAACAGAGAAATGTTTAAATAAAAAATAAAAAACAGTCAGAACAGTTCCTTCTTTAACTTGGAAAGAAGTGACATGAGAAGGCAGAGCTTATTCCCTTATGAAGTTGAGATCAGCATCTTAATGTCAAAATATTTCTTTGTTGTCGATAAAGGCTCTTCCCCCGACAAAGTAGGCAATCTTCTTTTCCTCCCGGGCCTTCTGGATGAGGGGCCACAAACGATTTCGTTTTTCGCGGTCCTCCGCCGTCAGGTCCTCCTTGAAGCGCAGAAGTCGTTGTTTCAGATGATCATGGTTCTTTGACATCTTCCAAATGGCGTCGCGATAGTGCCTCATAGAGAACTGGATGATAATATCTCTCGGTTGGGACCTGGTTGAATTGGGTCTACCGAGCCTATGCACAGAGTCTATCACATCCTTAAATTTGTCCTTGTAGCCTGGGGCTACGTTTTGACAAATCTCAATCACAGCGCGCCTCACTTCTTCATCTTCTCTCTCTTGCAGCCCGCGCAAACGTAAAATTCCATCTACGCTTGTAACGCGCCAATTCAACCACTTTGCTTTCAAGCTGTTGGATCATTTCTTCAGCTTTGTCTACTCTTTGTTCAGTTTTCCTTGCTGTCCCTTTTATGTCTTGTACCTCTGCCGAGAGAAAATCAACAGATCGTTTCAGCTCATCAATGGACTTTCCGATGGTAGAACCTTGCTCTTCGATAGCTAGCTTTAGCGCCGCCACTATGCTGTCCGCGGTTTCTTGCTCCATTTTACCTTTTTTGTTGTTAAGAGATTTAGTCGGAGTCACAGGTGGTTTGTTTTCACTTTTGCGCTTGGTCGAGGGGTTACTCATTATAGTGCGTGTCTTCAGTTGAGATGAAAGATGCTTTTTTCCCCCACAAAAGTCGGGAGCTGCTCTGCCACAGTGCTTACCGCCTCGCCGCCATCATCCTCCTTCGACTGGGCCGTTTATATACCTCAGGGCAGCAGTGCAACTGACGTCAGAAACAACCTCAGACGTCAGAAACAACTGCTGCGCCAATGTTGGCGCCAGATTCAAAATTCAAATGTAGTAATACAGGTCGCCAGCAGATGGCGCCTCACTGACGGTTTTAGGCAGAAAAGTTTAACTTTCAACTAATTTGCACCAAAGTGACAAAATTATGACCAGGATATGTAGAAAACACTATTGGACACTCATTTATACCGTTTATCAGCATAAAAAAGTGGATTTTAGGGTGAGCTGTCCTTTAATGACAATACAAAGACTAAAACGAGGATTTATATCAGGATTGAGACAGCGGAAAAAACTTTTTGTGTGATGCAAAACTTAATGCTTTGAGCCGATTCTGCATCCGGCATTTAAGAATAAGTGTGACGATGGTGTAGTGGTTAGGCTGTTGCGCTTGCACCCCAGCGATCTGGGTTCAAGTCCAAGTGGTGTCTGTATGCATTATATCACATATTTTGACAGATTGCTCAAAAAACGGTCAAAAACTAAGATCATGATGTTTTTTGCAGATTATAGCTTAATTGTAAAAAAATAATCATTTGAGACCACAAGTACCCCAATTAAAATAATGTTAGTCTCTATTTGATGTGGGACTTATACATGTATGTCTAAAAAATAGGGAATAAATTAAATTGAAAGGTGATATCCTATTTTGGACATCAATTGCTTATTTATTTTGCATAATCTATGTATAATTAAATTGCTTTATTATGATTTTGTTTTTGTTTTTTATCTCAAATGTCCAAATAATAATAATAAAAAACATTAATCAAAACATTAATTCAACATTAGCACGGCTCATGGCAATGTGAAAGACAGACAAACAACTGATAAAATAATTCCTTGTGTTTGCTGCTGGATTTGGTGTGTATCTGGCAACCTGAGTCAGGGAGAGTGGGAGAGGACTATAAAATATTGACTGTGACTGCAGTACCACTTTTGGCCAGATTTTTACATACTGCTCCTTTAAAGATCAAACCAGAGCTTAGACTCTCATCTGTCCATATGCTGCATGTCTCTGTTCATACCTCTACTTAGAGCCTGTTTTTAATTCCCTTCTTTTCTTTAGCGTTTGGCTGCTTTGACTGCCATTTCATAACGTTAACCAAAAACACGTCCACAATCTTTCACACTTTCTGGGATGCGCGAGGCTTCCCCTCCCCACTCACCTTGGCGTGACAAAAGTGCAGCCTACAGCAGCAGGGTTCAATGATGACAATTTTGATTAAGTTTATAGTATACATAAACTGTGTTTTTCAATCTTACGTGATGGGAAACACCTAGCACAATAATATAGAAGGAAACTTTTTTTTTGAAGACTGCAATTTTGCACCCCATCCTGCAGATGGCTATACCCTGGGCCGGCCCTGCATGGAGGAGACACTATTAACACATTTTCTTCTAACCCAGGTGAAGGTGCAGCACCATAACGACACTGCGGCGGTTGACACAGAGGTCCACCTGCTGAAAGAGTCCTTCGACCTGCTGCAGACTCTGAAGACTGACGACAATGGACTGGCCAGCTTCAAACTCAACACCAGCCTCTTCCAGGGCTCCTTCACTGTCAAGGTGAGCACATACTGAAGCTGATGGGAGAGCTGTATACCTGTGTCTGAAGCTGATACAAGAGCTGTGTACCTGTGTCTGAAGCTGATTCAAGAGCTGTGTACCTGTGTTTGAAGCTGATACAAGAGCTGTGCACCTGTGTCTGAAGCTGATTCAAGAGCTGTGTACCTGTGTCTGAAGCTGATACAAGAGCTGTGTACCTGTGTCTGAAGCTGATACAAGAGCTGTGTACCTGTGTCTGAAGCTGATTCAAGAGCTGTATACCTGTGTTCCCTGCTCAGGCCAGTGTCTATAAGATGTACACCCACACCCTCATGAGGCCGCACTTCGCCCTGGCCTCGCTGCATCTGACAGAGATCCAGCAGACGTCGCTCCACACCAGGACCAGCTCTTCTCTGGAGGTGCAGGCTGAGGACCGGCCCCTGGTCTGCGGGGCCCAGGAGACCCTCAACCTCAGCTACAGCATCGTTGGTGAGGGCCAGGGCCAGCTGCACATCATCTACCTGGTGAGGAACGCTGAGAGATTCACATTCAGTTTATTATATTATCTGCAGTAAAACGAGGGTTACGTATGTAACCACGGTTCTATGAATCCCGGATGACCGCCAGAGGGCGGTGCATAGCACTGAATGTTCCCTTCGCGCATGCGCAGTTTGAGTAATAATACCAAATGAGTCACACCTGTGACCCCCTGGGTGACACACCGGAGGTAATAAAGTCCAGCGTCATCCAGCACTCTGTTCCTGCAGAATCTTCTCGCGGATGCAAGGACCCTGAGTGACAGAGCGCCTCTGGCGGTCATCCGGGATTCATAGACCGTGGTTACATACGTAACCCTCGTTCTATTTCATCCCTTCAGACCGCCAGAGGGCGGTGCATAGCACTGAATGACCTTATACCAGCTATGTCACGAAGGATCTAACCACACACCTCACGGAGGAGAGCCAGAGGATTCCTGAAGGACCACGCCAAGAGGAGCCGGAGTGGCCACATTGATGTTGTAGAATCTGGTGAACGTGCTTGGTGTAGCCCAAGACGCAGCAGCACAAATAGTTCCCAACGGCACCCCGCGCATAGCGGCCCAGGAGGTAGAGACACCCCTGGTAGAATGGGCCCTCACCGTGGCTGGCGGGTCGCGGCCGGCCGAAACATACGCCTGATTGATAACGTCAACCACCCAGTGGGAAAGGCGTTGCTTCAAAAGTGGACTTCCCAGTCTAGCACCACCATAGGCAACAAAGAGCTGGTCTGAGCGCCTCACACCCGCCGTCGCAGCAACGTAGGCCTCCAATGCCCTCACAGGACACAGCAGGTGCAGTCTGTCCTCACCACCATCCAGGGGAGCCACAAGACCACGCCAGCCTTCTCGGGATCCCAGTGTAGGCATGAGGGACTGACAGAAAGTGCATGCAACTCACCGACCCTTTTTGCAGAGACCACAGCCAACAGGAAAGCAGTCTTATAGGAGAGCCACTTGAGGTCCGTTCGGGCCAATGGCTCATACGGAGGGCGGCAGAGAGACTCCAACACCAAGGCCAGGTCCCAAACCGGAGACCGCGCGGGCACGGGAGGGTGCAGCCTACGAGCTCCGCGTGAAAAGAGAGACACCAGGTTATGGCCCCCCACAGTACAGTTATCAACCTGGCCATGATAACATGAAATAGCAGCAACATATACCTTCAGAGTAGATGGGGCCCGACCTTCATCCAGGAGAGACTGAAGGAATTCCAGGACAACCGCCACCGGGCACGACACGGGATCCCGACCGCGGGAAGAACACCAGCGGGAGAACAACTTCCACCTGTTCTCATACAGCCGCAGAGTAGAGGCCGCCCTGGCATTCAGGAGTGTACGCCTGACAGGGCCAGTGACATCGAGTGCCCGCAGCTCGGGCCAGCCAACGGCCATACCCATAACTTGAGGCGGTGAGGACAGGGATGCCACACCTGACCGTCCAGCTGTGAGAGCAGATCCCGCCTGGGAGGGAGAGGCCAGGGGGGAGCCCAACAAAGTCTGAGTAGCAGTGGAAACCAGGGCCGTGCAGGCCAAAATGGAGCCACCAGTAATAAACTGTGCCCCGCCCGAAGGACCCTCTGGAGGGTTGGCCAGATCAGAGGAAAAGGGGGGAAGGCATACAGGAGGGCCTGAGGCCAACTGTGCGCCAGGGCATCCTGGCCGAGAGAGCCCGGAGCCCCGTCCAGGGAAAAAAACTGAGGGCAATGAGTGGAGGCCACCGAAGCGAATAGGTCCACCTGTGCCCGACCAAAAAGGCCCCACACCCTCTGGACCACACTGGGGTGGAGACACCATTCCCCCGGGGCAGGCCTCCCGCGAGACAGGGAGTCCGCCACGCGATTGCAGTCCCCCGGCAGATACACTGCACGCAGTGTAGACAGGCGAGGCGCATCCCAAACCAGCAGAGCCTGAGACACCTCGAGGAGCCGAGCCGATCGGACACCCCCTTGATGGTTGATGTGATACACGACCGAGGTGTTGTCCGAACGAATGAGGACATGTTTCCCCAGCAGGTGAGGCAAAAACTCCTGGAGAGCAAGGTGGACGGCCCGAAGCTCCAGTACATTTATGTGGTCTGAGTGCTCCGCCCGAGACCAAACCCCTCGGGCCAACCTGTGCTGCCACACAGCACCCCATCCCGTACGGCTGGCGTCGGTGGTGACCACTTCCCTGCGGCACACTACCACCCCCAAGGGGACCCCACGTGACAGGAGACCCCGGTCCCTCCATGGAGCCAAAGCACGAAAACATGCCCACGTCACCTGTAACCGTCTGTGGCGGTGACGAACGGCATCCAAACAAAACCCGTTCAGCCACCTCTGCAACGGGCGAAGCGAAAGCAGCCCGAGTGGAACCACACGAGAGATCGAGGCCAGCTTCCCCACCAGCTGTAGAAAGCTGACGTAACTGTGCAGGGTGCCAAGACCGAAACGGGACACCACACCGTGGATGTCGACCAGGCGGCGCACCGACGGACGCGCCGTCATAGTCACCGTGTTCAGACTCAGGCCAAGAAAAACAGCGGCCTGCGAAGGCACCAGGCTGCTCTTTTCGAAATTGACCCTGAAACCCAAGCGGGCGACATGAGTCAGAAGGCGCTCCGTATCTTCCAAGGACCGTGCCCTGGACGGGGCGCAGATCAGCCAATCGTCCAGATAAGGGAAACACCTTCATGCCACTGGCCTTCACGCATCGAGTGAAAACCCTCGGAGAGAGAGAGAGGCCAAAGGGAAGAACCCTGAACTGCCAGTGAACGCCCCAATAGGCGAACCGGAGGAACCGCACGTGAAAATACGCGTCCCTCAAATCTATGGACGTGAACCATTCCCCGGCCCCAACAGTCTGAAGGACTTCCGCAGTCGTCAGCATGCGAAACGGAATGACCTTCAGGAAATGATTCAAGCCCCTCAAATCCAAAATTGGTCGAAAACCCCCCGTCTTCTTGGGCACGAGAAAATAACGGGAGTAATAACCCCTGGGTTGCAGCAGCGGATCTACCGCCTCGATGGCACCCTTGGTCAGGAGGGCGGAGAGCTCCTGATCCAAGATAAAGGCTTTTGCCGGGTCCGAGATCAAAGTAACCTTGACCCGGCCCGACAAGTGCGGCCGGCGTCGGAATTGCAGACGGTATCCGTGGGTCAATGTGGCAACCACCCACGGATCCCGAGCCATACCTGGCTGGCTCAGTATGAGCCTGTACAAGGACCGACATGACCCGTCCGAGTTCCCTGGTCATCAAGGCAAATGCATGCTGCCCACAGCACTACCCTCTTGGAGGGAGTTACCAATACGGCCAGCTCGAGCACCAGAATTGTAGGCCTTTGTTAGCAAGTGATCCGTCGCACGACACTGGCTCCGAGGGCACCTCACATTCTCCCGCAAGGACTCCTCCGGGGAAACAATGAGGGAGGCAACCGCCGGCTCAACAGCCGGCATGCAATCCAGGCCAGCCGAAGAGGCATCGTGCATCGCGGCCAAAGCCCGACCCTCAGCCGAAAGCTTAGAGAGACGGCTGGGGTCCCTCCAGCACGCGTGTAGCTCCTTCAGATACTCCGCGGACGGGGGCACAACAAAAGCAGGAGACGAACCACCACGCCTGAAAAAAGCACTGCCAGGGTCAGGATAAGGCCCTGCGAAGAACCTCCTGCATGAGCCGTCACCAGACCGGCTGGACACACTATGTGCGGAAGAATAAGCATCGTCCCCCAAAAGGGACCGCGCGTCATCCTCGTCCCGGAAGCACGAAGCAGATGCCGCCAGAGAAAGCACATCCTCTTCCGGATGGAGGGATGGCATGGAGCAAGAACCAGCCCCAGAGACGGCATCAGCAGCACAACGTGCCTGGAATGCAGATTTCATCGCCTCCAACTCTGCAGATAACTGCTCCACCCTCGACACCAGGACAGCATCCGGCTTGGCCTGCTTGGAAGGACCATGGCCATCAGACCGTTCCCCTGAAGCACAGGCCTCAGCACGGCGCTTAGAACGCAGAGGGGGCGGAGCCACAGCAGGTCCCACTGGCAAACTATCACCGTCGCCAGACGAAGGCAGCTGAACCAGCCTCGTCACCCTAACAGCCCAGGGCAAGCAGCTGCAGTTCATGCACGGGTTATCGGACACTGCCTCCCTCAAGTGAGTGGGGCCGAGGCACGCCGGACACAGGTCATGGCCGTCATCAACATCGAGTGCTGACCCGCAGCCCACACACGCATGTGACCCGTCCATAACAACAAGGTTTTTTTTTTTTTTTTTATTATTATAAAAGTTTTTTTATTTTTTATTTTTTATTTTTTTTTCACTGTCTGTTGTTAATTCAATATGTAATTAATCCCAAACGGTATTCAAACTGCAGAACCGAATCAACGTACTGCAGTTTCACAACAGAAAAGCCAAATATAGCACGGTGGAGGAGCGGACGCGCGAACAGCAGCCTTCACACCACACAATGCACCCGCAGCAAAATGCCACTCGAAGAAAGAAGTGATGGAGGAGAGGGCGCGCGAACAGCAGCCGTCACACCACACAATACACCGGCAGTAAAATGCCAACTCAAATAAAGTAGTGATGGAGGAGAGGGCGCGCTAACAGCAGCCGTCACACCACACAATACACCGGCAGTAAAATGCCAACTCAAATAAAGTAGTGATGGAGGAGAGGGCGCGCTAACAGCAGCCTTCACACCACACAACACACCGGCCACAGAATAAACACAGGCAGCAAATGCTAACCCAAACAAGAACTGATGGAGGAGCGGGACAACGAACCGCAGCCTTCACACCACAGAGGACACCGGTAACAAAAACTAACCCAAAGAAGAACTGATGGAGGAGCGGGCGCGCGAACAGCAGCCTTCACACCACAGAGGACACGGGTAGCAAAAACTAACCCAACTAAGAACTGATGGAGGAGCGGAACCGCAGCCTCACACCACACAATACACAGGTAGCAAAAGGCTAACCCAAATAAGAACCGATGGAGGAGCGGGCTAACGAACCGCAGCCTCACACCACTCAATACACAGTTAGCAAAAGCTAACTCAAACATGCACAGGCGGAGGAGCAGGCCAACGAACAGCAGCCTTCACACCACGAAATGCATGTACCAAAAGAAAGTACTGACGGAGGAGCGGGCGCCACAGCAGCCTTCACACCAACCAATACATCACGTATATAGTACAGAAAACACCAATAAATACCCAAAGGACAACGTCACCGTCGCGCCCTCGGAGGGCGAACCGCAGCTCCGATGAAGAGGGCTTTTAGCGACAGACGTTGATGAAGTTCAAGCAGCAACGATTCGAACCGCACGCGAGAAGAAAAAAAGGAACAGAGTGCTGGATGACGCTGGACTTTATTACCTCCGGTGTGTCACCCAGGGGGTCACAGGTGTGACTCATTTGGTATTATTACTCGAACTGCGCATGCGCGAAGGGAACATTCAGTGCTATGCACCGCCCTCTGGCGGTCTGAAGGGATGAAATAGAACCACACTGGAATACACAAAATGTTTGGGTCTCTCTGAGGTCTGGGTTTCAGTGAAGTCTGGGTCTCAGTGTGGTCTGGGTCTCAGTGTGGTCTGGGTCTCAGTGTGGTCTGGGTCTCAGTGTGGTCTGGGTCTCAGTGTGGTCTGCGTCTCAGCGAGGTCTGGGTCGCAGTGAGGTCTGAGTCTCTGTGGAGGAACACCTGGATCTCCTTTGGCGCACATCTTCTACTACAACAATCAGTAGCAGTAGTAGTAGTAGTAGTAGTAGAGGGATTAAAGAGTTCAGTCTAGGTGACGGATTTCCGTCAAATGAAATTGGTCTGAAAAAAAATATATATATAATGATAATAATAATTCACACAATGAAATGGTTTATTATAAAAAAATAATATACAGTAATACATATACGTGTGTATCTGTTATATATATATCTATACATATATAATAATAATTGGAATATAATTGTATTTATATGTATATAAAAAGTCATATAATCACGAGTGGGCCATGAACGTGCCGTGGCCACAGCTACATGAGCGCTCCGCAAATGAATCAAGGCAATGGGACGTAGCTGACCTCACGCGCAAATGAAGACGCGGCCAAGTTAGCATTGGTAACACGGAGGTGAAAGTTTCTGGAAACTGGACGGAGCTTTTGAAAAGGAGAAGAGGAGAAGGAAAATTGAATCCCGAACGGAGCAATAACAGCCAGCAGCCCCGCGGACCGGTAAGCTAGGCGCGTTACCAGAGGAAAGGTAGGACCTAAACGCAATGCTTTGGTAAGCTTTTGATAATGTCTTGGTTGCGATCCGCATGCAAAACTCAGCGTGATATAAAAGAGCCAATCAACGAGAGCGAACGGAAGAAACTTTCTGAAGAACGGTGTGGTGTGTTAGCGGGTCTTATATTCAGTTATCAAAGCATGTACGCACAATCACAATCATGGATCGTTGTTTATGGAAGGAGCAGTTCAAGTTGAAATTGACCACGGAGTGAAAAATAAATGGAGGTGGGCATGGCTGGATGAGGTGGAGACGATGGGATTCTGTTGCTTCATGGTGCAAAAAGAGGAAGGTGGCCGGTGCTTGTTCGTACTTCGCCATACACTTTTTTATATGGGAGTTATGAGAAAAAAGTTTTGATTCGCCACCGGCTCAAAACTGCGCACAAGGCAGGTGCTCGTGCACTTTCCCACACTTCATCTTTACCTGGTGAGCACTCATCAGCGACAACTGAGACTAGGCTTGGCGGATCGATGTCTGTGACTAACTCTTAAAACTGTCAAAAAGAGTTTCTGGCTTGTTGTATCAAAATACAAATCTTTGAAGGATTAATTTGATCTGTAATTCATTATACAATAATATATAGTATTAGTAATAAAGATATAACTTGGTCCTGCATATGACTGATTTACATGTGATACATTTCCATGAGAACATTTTCAGTCAAATCTTTTTTTTTTTGCTTTAACCCCTGCAGTAGTAGCAACAGTTGTAGAAGCAATATCACATGGGTCTCCCTGTGTTTCTTTCAGCTCTTGTCCAGAGGAAACATCGTCAAATATGGACAGTACTCCAACTACATGGACACAAGTAAGATCTACTCTACTCGCAGTTGCAGTATTATTGGTAGTAGGACAGTGAGCTGATACTGGAGGCATTTCAAAACCGAATACTGAAAAGAGTAACAGGTGCGCTCACGCTACAGCTGAAGAGCTGAGACTCAAATGCAAACGCTCTAAAATCATGAGTAATATTGCAAAAAGAAGAATGAAAAAAAGTTGTAGTAGTAGTAGTGGTACCATTACTACTACTATTTTTTTTTCTTCTTACCACTACTACTACTACTACCACAACTACGACCATTACTACCACTATTACCACTACAACTACTACTGTACGAATGCCAGTCTGAATGATTTCCTCTTCGTCAGCATTTTCAACGCATTGAAATTAAAGGGAAAAGAAGTCGGAAAGTGCCGGTTCTTTTGACTCCTGAAATGATTGCTTCGATGGAGGTGCTGGTGGAGAACAGAAGGGCCTGTTCCATCTCTGACCATAACCCATACTTCTTTTCCCGCCCGGGCGCAGACACCCACATCAGGGGATCAGACTCCCTACGCCAGGTAGCCAAAGAATGTGGTGCGGTGCATCCAGAGATGCTATCCTCAACCAAACTTAGAAAGCACATAGCTACTATGTCTACAGTTCTCAATATGAAAGAGAATGAGATGGACATACTTGCCAACTTCCTCGGCCATGACATTCGCATCCACAGGCAATATTACAGACTACCAGAGGGGACACTGGAGCTGGCCAAAATCAGCAAAGTGTTGATGGCCATGGAGCAGGGAAGAGTGACGGAATTCGAAGGAAAGAGCCTCGACCAGATACAAATTGAGCCTGAAGGTAATTCTTGATATTATTAAAATATGTATGATTTTTTTCCCCTAAAGGCCACTTGTATTTTTATTTTCTGTGCGACAGGGAGAGCAGTAGAGATCCTCTCACAAACGGACGGGCTAAAAGAAACTTCAAGCGGAGAACCTTCAACCATTCATCCAGATGCACCCCATGGTAGTGGCAGTGCCCCTTCTGGTAAGTGTACCAGGTGGGGATTACAGCCAGGCTGCTTGGTCCTCACCCTGGGAGTGTATATTGCTAATATATTTTTATTTCTCTCCCTAGAACGTGTAAGAAAGCCATGGTCTGCATCTGAGGTGAAGGCTGTGGAGAAGACCATGACACCTTTCATACAGACTGGAAAGGTCCCTGGGAAGTCTCACTGCCTGGCCTGCATTAATGCCTCACCAGATGACCTTAGACATCGGACATGGAGTGGCATTAAATTCTATGTCAAAAATAGAATCACTGCAATTCGAAAACAAAATCTAAAATAAAATTCCTTTAAAATAGTTGTTTGGTTTCTATTGACTGTTTTGTATTACTTAAAGTCTTGGTAAAAAAAGATTATGTCTATGGGTCCCATTCTGAACGGCCCTGTCAAAGGGACCCACCAGGTAACAAAAACGTGTGTGTGTGTGTCTGTGTGTGTGTGTGTGTGTGTGTTGTTGTGTGGAGTAAGACATTTGCTTATTTCTGACTCATTCTCATTTGAGAGAAGCGTCTCTGGGTGAATCTCACATAAATATGGAACCAGGACAACCAGCCAATCACAGCCTCTGATACAGCGGCGTTTAAACCTGGGACCAAACACAGCAAGAAATGTCTGATGTTGAGACATGAGAAAAGATCATCTAGAAAAGCACAACGCTAGAATTATGATGGAAAATAAGTAGTCATGGGGCGACAGTAGCTCAGTTGGTAGAGCATTGGCCTTAAGGCCAGAAGGTCGTGGGTTCAATTCCCACCTCTGCACCTTCTCCACCGACTCCCACTGATGACTGCTGTCGTTGTGTCCTTGGGCAAGACACTTAACCCCACTTTGCCCAAAAGCCCCCGCTGAAAGATCAAGGCTATGCTCACAGTCAGAGAGCAGCCTCCTGTGGACTCACCACCTGCAGAGGGTCAGTAAGGGGCTGGTGCTATGAGACTTGGGTGGCATCTCTGACTGCCACCCCCCTGACCCAGAAATGGATTAAAGGTAGAACATGGATGGATGGATAAGTAGTCATGTATGAAGGCCTCTGATTGGCCAGGCCTTACATGGTCATATCTGAATTTACAAAAACTATATTTGCAGCAGGGGCGACAGGGGCTCAGATGGGAGAGCGTTGGTCTTTGGACCTAATGGTTGTGGGTTTGATCCCTCAGACCTAGGGCCGGGCGATAAAACGATAACGAGATATATTGCGATAGACACGTGTTCAATATCAATAGAAAACGGGGTCGATAGAATATTCGATAGTTTCACTTCACTGCGTTAGAAAAAAACAGGAAGTAAAGCAGAGTCAGAAGCGCGCGGCATTCTGGGGGATGTAGGCAGAGACTTCTCGACCTATCACAGCCGACTACAAACCGCAAAACTTTCTGGGAAATGCAAAAACAACAACCGCACCATGTGTAGCGTCCATGGATCATGGATCTATGATAATAGCCATGGATCTAAAGATCGTGTTTCAGGCCGTGTCAAAGGTTAAACACGTCCGTGCGAGGAACAGCATGTGCGGCGCTGGAGAGGCAGTGGGTACAGAGACTCCATGCATTCGGCACAGGGACGCAAGACACTTGAAAACAGCCAAAACAGGAGCTAAACCAGGACTAAACCAGGACTAAACCAGGACTAAACCAGGACTAACTATGGGGGAGCCTGCTTGTGAACATTGGCCTCCAGCCTCATTCCCCCGTGACTGTAAACAGAGCTGCTAACATGTGTTAGCTGACACGACAAACGACAAATTTATTTAGGTTTAAAAAAATAAATAAAAAACAATCAATATATATCGTTATCGACCGATATTAATTACTTATATTGTAATATAGTTTTCAGCCATATCGCCCCGCCCTACTCAGACCCATGTCAACAACTCCCACTGATGTCTGCTGTCGTTGTGTCCTTGGGCAAGACACTTAACCCCACTTTGCCTGAAGCCCCTGCTGAAAGATCAAGGCCGTGTCTGCATTGAAGGACTCCTTCCTGTGGACCCCCCACCTGCAGGAGGATCAGAGGGACTGGTGCTCTGATGGTCACCCCCGACCCAGAAATGGATTCATAAAAGGATGAAAATGAATGAATGAATATTTGCAGCAGGAGAATGGTTCGGCCAATAGCGAGAGGCCTCGTCTGTGAATCAATGATTGACATTTATTTCATCCAATCAGGAAGCAGTGTGGGTGGGCGTGGGCGGGTCTAACAGCGCTTGCTTTGGAAATCTAGGATTTGATTTAATTATTGCTTCAGTCTGTTTGTTCGTCTGGAGAAGTGTCCCAAACTCAACCTTTGATCGTGAGATCAATGACACAGATTTAACTAAGAACTAAGAGGACGAGCCCAAAGTCCACACTGGTCTCCCTCTCTGGTCTCCCTCTCTGGTCTCCCTCTCTGGTCTCCCTCTCTGGTCTCCCTCTCTGGTCTCCCTCTCTGGTCTCCCTCTCTGGTCTCCCTCTCTGGTCTCCCTCTCTGGTCTCCCTCTCTGGTCTCCCTCTCTGGTCTCCCTCTCTGGTCTCCCTCTCTGGTCTCCCTCTCTGGTCTCCCTCTCTGGTCTCCCTCGCTGGTCTCCCTCGCTGGTCTCCCTCTCTGGTCTCCCTCGCTGGTCTCCCTCGCTGGTCTCCCTCGCTGGTCTCCCTCGCTGGTCTCCCTCGCTGGTCTCCCTCGCTGGTCTCCCTCGCTGGTCTCCCTCGCTGGTCTCCCTCGCTGGTCTCCCTCGCTGGTCTCCCTCGCTGGTCTCCCTCGCTGGTCTCCCGCTGGTCTCCTGGTCTCCCTCTCTGGTCTCCCTCGCTGGTCTCCCTCGCTGGTCTCCCTCGCTGGTCTCCCTCGCTGGTCTCCCTCGCTGGTCCCCTCGCTGGTCTCCCTCGCTGGTCTCCCTCGCTGGTCTCCCTCGCTGGTCTCCCCGCTGGTCTCCCTCGCTGGTCTCCCTCGCTGGTCTCCCTCGCTGGTCTCCCTCGGTCTCCCTCTCTGGTCTCCCTCTCTGGTCTCCCTCTCTGGTCTCCCTCTCTGGTCTCCCTCTCTGGTCTCCCTCTCTGGTCTCCCTCTCCCTCTCTGGTCTCCCTCTCTGGTCTCCCTCTCTGGTCTCCCTCGCTGGTCTCCCTCGCTGGTCTCCCTCGCTGGTCTCCCTCGCTGGTCTCCCTCGCTGGTCTCCTCGCTGGTCTCCCTCGCTGGTCTCCCTCGCTGGTCTCCCTGCTGGTCTCCCTCCTGGTCTCCCTCCTGGTCTCCCTCGCTGGTCTCCCTCTCTGGTCTCCCTCTCTGGTCTCCCTCTCTGGTCTCCCTCTCTGGTCTCCCTCTCTGGTCTCCCTCTCTGGTCTCCCTCTCTGGTCTCCCTCTCTGGTCTCTCTCTCTGGTCTCTCTCTCTGGTCTCTCTCTCTGGTCTCTCTCTCTGGTCTCTCTCTCTGGTCTCTCTCTCTGGTCTCTCTCTCTGGTCTCCCTCTCTGGTCTCCCTCTCTGGTCTCTCTCTCTGGTCTCTCTCTCTGGTCTCTCTCTCTGGTCTCTCTCTCTGGTCTCTCTCTCTGGTCTCTCTCTCTGGTCTCTCTCTCTGGTCTCTCTCTCTGGTCTCCCTCTCTGGTCTCTCTGTCTACCATGGAGACCTGGGGCTTGGACACAAATTGATACTGAGCGAGAGGAGTTTATTTTTCAATCCAGGTCAAAAAGACCTAGAGCGAGTTGGAGCCAAACTTTGTCTATGAGCACTTCCCTATAGGGTTTCATTGAGTTAGCATTGTCCGTCTGTTTACAGTCCGTGAATTTTTCCTGACACCTATTGATACTGATTCAAGGTCAGGACCTTTCTGTGGCGGTCGGCAGCGACAGCAGCCAATCAGCCGAGCCCAAACGCCACCATCAGGACAGCAGCCAATCAGAGGAGCCCAAACGCCACCATCAGGACAGCAGCCAATCAGAGGAGCCCAAACACCACCATCAGGACAGCAGCCAATCAGAGGAGCCCGTGTATGAACAGGGCGACTGCTGACGTCCACAAAAACACTTATTTATGTTTTATTTCTGTCTCTGCTCAAATCCTGCTGATGTGAAACTGCTGCATTTCCCACAGACGGCTAACACACACACACACACACACACACACATACACACACACACCAAGACGTGGAAGAACCAACGTCATTCTTTAACAGCAGCTGCGAAAATGGAAACTGAAACTAGAGCTTCGCGTGGTTTCGTTTGGACGAACAAAGGAGTAGAATCCTCCTCCGTTTAGCGCTCGAAGCACACATAGCTAGTTAGCTACCCGCCGCCATTGTTGTTTATGTTTGTTCTACTGTGCATGTCCCAATGTACGTACAGAGAGCAGCGGGAGGTGGGGTCAGATCGGGCAAAGAATTCACACCTTTTTCTTCACGCGGGTGTGAAAGAGCGCCCCCTGCTGAGCATCTGAGCTGTCTCACTCTGAGGCTGGATCTGAACTCTTACGTTCTCACCTGGAACAGTCTCCGTATGAACGGGAGGTAGCAACCGACACCAACTATAGTGTTATACTGTCGCAGTGTCTCCGTCTAAACAGGGCCTAAGTGTGTGTCTCTAAGTGCTAATTTACACAGGAGCCGTTACAGCACGTACGCCTTGTACACGCAGCAGACACGCGGAACATTTTTCCATGTTAACCAATAGTGATATTTACACTAGTGTTATACGCACGTATGACGCACGTATGACAGACGTATGACGGACGTATGACGGACGTATGACGGACGTGTGACGGACGTATGACGCACGTATGACGGACGTGTGACGGACGTATGACGGACGTGTGACGGACGTGTGACGGACGTGTGACGGACGTGTGACGGACGTGTGACGGACGTATGACGAACGTGTGACGCACGTATGACGGACGTGTGACGGACGTGTGACGGACGTGTGACGGACGTGTGACGGACGTATGACAAACGTATGACGGACGTGTGAAGGACGTGTGACGGACGTATGACAAACGTGTGACGGACGTATGACAAACGTGTGACGGACGTGTGACAAACGTGTGACGGACGTATGACAAACGTGTGACGGACGTGTGACAAACGTGTGACGGACGTATGACAAACGTGTGACGGACGTGTGACAAACGTGTGACGGACGTGTGACAAACGTATGACGGACGTATGACAAACGTGTGACGGACGTATGACAAACGTGTGACGGACGTATGACAAACGTGTGACGGACGTATGACAAACGTGTGACGGACGTATGACAAACGTGTGACGGACGTATGACAAACGTGTGACGGACGTATGACAAACGTGTGACGGACGTATGACAAACGTGTGACGGACGTATGACGGACGTATGACAAACGTGTGACGGACGTATGACGGACGTGTGACGGACGTGTGACGGACGTGTGAAGGACGTGTGACGGACGTGTGACGGACGTGTGACGGACGTGTGACGGACGTATGACGGACGTGTGACGGACGTGTGACGGACGTGTGACGGACGTGTGACGGACGTGTGACGGACGTGTGACGGACGTGTGACGCACGTGTGACGGACGTGTGACGGACGTGTGACGGACGTGTGACGGACGTGTGACGGACGTTTGACGGACGTGTGACGGACGTGTGACGCACGTATGACGGACGTGTGACGGACGTGTGACGGACGTGTGACGGACGTGTGACGGACGTGTGACGGACGTATGACGGACGTGTGAAGGACGTGTGACGGACGTATGACAACGTATGACGGACGTGTGAAGGACGTGTGACGGACGTATGACAAACGTGTGACGGACGTATGACAAACGTGTGACGGACGTGTGACAAACGTGTGACGGACGTATGACAAACGTGTGACGGACGTGTGACAAACGTGTGACGGACGTATGACAAACGTATGACGGACGTATGACAAACGTGTGACGGACGTATGACAAACGTATGACAACGTGTGACGGACGTGTGACAAACGTGTGACGGACGTGTGACAAACGTATGACGGACGTATGACAAACGTGTGACGGACGTATGACAAACGTGTGACGGACGTATGACAAACGTGTGACGGACGTATGACAAACGTGTGACGGACGTATGACAAACGTGTGACGGACGTGTGACGGACGTGTGACGGACGTATGACGGACGTATGACAAACGTGTGACGGACGTATGACGGACGTGTGACGGACGTGTGACGGACGTGTGACGGACGTGTGACGGACGTGTGACGGACGTGTGACGGACGTGTGACGGACGTATGACGGACGTGTGACGGACGTGTGACGGACGTGTGACGGACGTGTGACGGACGTGTGACGGACGTGTGACGGACGTGTGACGGACGTATGACGGACGTGTGACGGACGTGTGACGGACGTATGACGGACGTGTGACGGACGTGTGACGGACGTGTGACGGACGTGTGACGGACGTGTGACGGACGTGTGACGGACGTGTGACGGACGTGTGAGGGACGTGTGAGGGACGTGTGACGGACGTATGACGGACGTGTGACGGACGTATGACAAACGTGTGACGCAACAGACGTGTGACGGACGTATGACAAACGTGTGACGGACGTATGACGGACGTATGACGGACGTGTGACGGACGTGTGACGGACGTGTGACGGACGTGTGACGGACGTGTGAAGGACGTGTGACGGACGTATGACAAACGTGTGACGGACGTATGACAAACGTGTGACGGACGTATGACGGACGTGTGACGGACGTGTGACGGACGTGTGACGGACGTGTGACGGACGTATGACAAACGTGTGACGGACGTATGACGAACATGTGACGGACGTGTGACGGACGTGTGACGGACGTGTGACGGACGTGTGACGGACGTATGACGGACGTGTGACAAACGTGTGACGGACGTATGACGAACATGTGACGGACGTGTGACGGACGTGTGACGGACGTGTGACGGACGTATGACGGACGTATCACGGACGTGTGACGGACGTATGACGGACGTGTGACGGACGTGTGACGGACGTGTGACGGACGTGTGACGGACGTGTGACGGACGTGTGACGGACGTGTGACGGACGTGTGACGAACGTGTGACGAACGTGTGAGGGACGTGTGACGGACGTATGACGGACGTGTGACGGACGTGTGACGAGCGTATGACGGACGTATCACGGACGTGTGGTGTGACGTGTGACGGACGGACGTGTGACGGACGTATGACGGACGTATGACGGACGTGTGACGAGCGTATGACGGACGTATCACGGACGTGTGATGGACGTGTGACGGACGTGTGACGGACGTGTGACGAGCGTATGACGGACGTATGACGGACGTGTGACGGACGTATGACGGACGTATGACGGACGTGTGACGGACGTATGACGGACGTATGACGGACGTGTGACGGACGTGTGACGGACGTATGACGGACGTGTGACGGACGTGTGACGTGTGACGGACGTGTGAAGGACGTATGACGGACGTATGACGGACGTGTGACAAGCGTATGACGGACGAATCACGGACGTGTGACGGACGTGTGACGGACGTGTGACGAGCGTATGACGGACGTATGACGGACGTATGACGGACACACAAAAAGACATACAGAGACACACACACACACACAAATACAAACCAGAGAGAGACCAGAGCGACCAGAGATGGAGAGACCAGAGAGACCAGAGATGGAGAGACCAGAGAGAGACCAGAGCGACCAGAGATGGAGAGACCAGAGAGACCAGAGATGGAGAGACTAGAGAGAGACCAGTGAGATACCAGAGATGGAGAGACCAGAGATGGAGAGACCAGAGAGAGACCAGTGAGAGACCAGAGAGACCAAAGAGAGAGACCAGAGAGAGACCAAAGAGAGAGACCAGAGATACTTGTTCCATAGACAAGTCTTCATAATAATGTTTGCACAGAGCATACTGTGACTAGAACAGTCTGAGGCTCTGAGGCTCTGCTCAGCGAGGCCTTGTTTATGTGTTCTCCTGATCCCTGCTGCTGCTGGTTCAGAAACTCCTCCTGGGTTTGCTCTAAGTCCTGACCTCACACACTCAGACAAACTGAAGAGGCCGAGTTAGAGGAGGTCCTGCTGAGAGAGACACTACAGCTGGGAGGAGGAGAGGGAGGGGGGAGAGAGGAAGGAGAGAGGAGAGAGGAGAGAGAGGGGAGAGAGGGGAGAGGGAGGGGAGAGAGGGGAGAGAGGAGAGAGGAGAGAGGAGAGAGAGGGGAGAGAGGGGAGAGAGAGGGGAGAGAGGAGAGAGAGAGAGGAGAGGAGAGGAGAGAGAGGAGGGGAGAGAGAAGAGAGCAAAGAGAGAGGAGAGAAGATCACAGCAGAGTCTGAGCTAATGACATTAATAGAGCAAGGGTCAAACGGTGAAGTCTGACCTCATTGATCAACAACGACAACAGATTACCTGCTCTTTCTCTCTGGTCTCCCTCTGGTCTCTCTCTAGTCTCTCTCTAGTCTCTCTCTGGTCTCTCTCTGGTCTCTCTCTGGTCTCTCTCTGGTCTCTCTCTCTCTAGTCTCTCTCTGGTCTCTCTCTGGTCTCTCTCTGGTCTCTCTCTGGTCTCTCTCTCTCTAGTCTCTCTCTAGTCTCTCTCTGGTCTCTCTCTGGTCTCTCTCTGGTCTCTCTCTCTCTGGTCTCTCTCTGGTCTCTCTCTCTCTGGTCTCTCTCTGGTCTCTCTCTGGTCTCTCTCTGGTCTCTCTCTCTCTGGTCTCTCTCTGGTCTCCCTCTGGTCTCTCTCTAGTCTCTCTCTAGTCTCTCTCTAGTCTCTCTCTGGTCTCTCTCTGGTCTCTCTCTGGTCTCTCTCTGGTCTCTCTCTGGTCTCTCTCTCTCTGGTCTCTCTCTGGTCTCTCTCTCTCTGGTCTCTCTCTCTGGTCTCTCTCTCTCTGGTCTCTCTCTCTGGTCTCTCTCTCTCTCTGGTCTCCCTCTGGTCTCTCTCTAGTCTCTCTCTGGTCTCTCTCTGGTCTCTCTCTGGTCTCTCTCTGGTCTCTCTCTCTGGTCTCTCTCTCTCTCTGGTCTCTCTCTAGTATAACATAGATGTATTATTAGCACTTATTACACATTTATAACACATATATTGCCTGTTTTGATCCTCCTCATCATCATCATCATGTAGAACACACAGAGACTGAGGGAGAAATGAACCACAGCCTGAGGACCCCGACAGTGTGTCTGCAGTTTCAGTAAAACAAACTGACATGTAGCAACAATAACAGAGCTAGCATCCTCCTGCTAGCATCCTCCTGCTAGCATCCTGCTGCTAGCATCCTGCTGCTAGCATCCTCCTGCTAGCATCCTGCTGCTAGCATCCTCCTGCTAGCATCCTGCTGCTAGCATCCTCCTGCTAGCATCCTGCTGCTAGCATCCTCCTGCTAGCATCCTCCTGCTAGCATCCTGCTGCTAGCATCCTCCTGCTAGCATCCTCCTGCTAGCATCCTCCTGCTAGCATCCTGCTGCTAGCATCCTGCTGTTAGCATCCTGCTGCTAGCATCCTGCTGCTAGCATCCTGCTGTTAGCATCCTGCTGCTAGCATCCTGCTGCTAGCATCCTGCTGCTAGCATCCTGCTGCTAGCATCCTGCTGCTAGCATCCTGCTGTTAGCATCCTGCTGCTAGCATCCTGCTGCTAGCATCCTGCTGTTAGCATCCTGCTGCTAGCATCCTGCTGTTAGCATCCTGCTGTTAGCATCCTGCTGCTAGCATCCTGCTGTTAGCATCCTGCTGCTAGCATCCTGCTGTTAGCATCCTGCTGTTAGCATCCTGCTGCTAGCATCCTGCTGTTAGCATCCTGCTGCTAGCATCCTGCTGTTAGCATCCTGCTGCTAGCATCCTGCTGCTAGCATCCTGCTGTTAGCATCCTGCTGCTAGCATCCTGCTGTTAGCATCCTGCTGCTCGGCTAACGCAGCTTTAGCTAATTCTATTATTTCCCCCATTTTCTTCTGGACGACACACGCAGCTCGAGCTATAACTACACATCAAACCATCAAACCATCAAACCATCAAACCATCAAACCATCAAACCACTCCCAAAAGGACGTGACGTGGTTTAAAAAGATAAATAAACATAATAAACAGAAATAGAGGGTGTTAGCTCTGGTGCTAACCTCATACTGGATGTACTGCTTCCTCCACTCGGGGGTGATGTGAGCTGCGAGGTGCTCCGTGAACTTCATTTTCTCCACTAAATAAAACACATCTACAGCCTGTGATGGTGCACTCAGCCCGGGGCAGCAGGGGGGCTGGAGCCGGGCTGGAGCCGGGCTGGAGCCGCTCTCAGCCGCAGATTAGGCTCGGTCTGCTGTGCCTTCTATCGGTGCATTCTCACGGAGGTCCGGGCTCTGGGTCCGGGCTCTGGGTCCGGGCTCTGAGGCTCTGGGTCCGGGTGTAGGTGACAGGCGTGAGGGGGTCAGCTGAAGGGGTACTCGGGCATCCTGGTCCCGGCTGCACTGGAGCCTGAATGGACCCGGAGCAGAGGCTGATGCTGCAGACTCCGCCTCTGAGGCTGTCACCTGGTACTTCAGCCTTTATGGTGTCAGCACTTTACACTTGGTACAGACACACACTTTACACTTGGTACAGACACACACTTTACACTTGGTACAGACACACACTTTACACTTGGTACAGACACACACTTTACACTTGCTACAGACACACACTTTACACTTGTCACAGACACACACTTTACACTTGCTACAGACACACACTTTACACTTGGTACAGACACACACTTTACACTTGGTACAGACACACACTTTACACTTGGTACAGACACACACTTTACACTTGCTACAGACACACACTTTACACTTGCTACAGACACACACTTTACACTTGGTACAGACACACACTTTACACTTGCTACAGACACACACTTTACACTTGGTACAGACACACACTTTACACTTGGTACAGACACACACTTTACACTTGCTACAGACACACACTTTACACTTGTCACAGACACACACTTTACACTTGCTACAGACACACACTTTACACTTGGTACAGACACACACTTTACACTTGGTACAGACACACACTTTACACTTGGTACAGACACACACTTTACACTTGCTACAGACACACACTTTACACTTGGTACAGACACACACTTTACATGTGTCACAGACACACACTTTACATTTGCTACAGACACACACTTTACATGTGTCACAGACACACACTTTACACTTGCTACAGACACACACTTTACACTTGGTACAGACACACACTTTACACTTGCTACAGACACACACTTTACATGTGTCACAGACACACACTTTACACTTGCTACAGACACACACTTTACATGTGTCACAGACACACACTTTACACTTGCTACAGACACACACTTTACACTTGGTACAGACACACACTTTACACTTGCTACAGACACACACTTTACACTTGTCACAGACACACACTTTACACTTGGTATAGACACACACTTTACATTTGTCACAGACACACAATTTACATTTGGTACAGACACACAATTTACATTTGTCACAGACACACAATTTACATGTGTCACAGACACACACTTTACATTTGTCACAGACACACACTTTACATGTGTCAAAGACACACACTTTACATGTGTCACAGACACACACTTTACACTTGTCACAGACACACACTTTACACTTGGTACAGACACACACTTTACATGTGTCAAAGACACACACTTTACACTTGTCACAGACACACACTTTACACTTGGTACAGACACACACTTTACATGTGTCACAGACACACACTTTACACTTGGTACAGACACACACTTTACATGTGTCAAAGACACACACTTTACATTTGGTACAGACACACACTTTACATTTGGTACAGACACACACTTTACATGTGTCACAGACACACACTTTACATGTGTCACAGACACACACTTTACATTTGTCACAGACACACACTTTACATCTGTCACAGACACACAATTGTCACAGACTTTACATCTGTCACAGACACACAATTGTCACAGACTTTACATCTGTCACAGACACACACTTGTCACAGACACACACTTTACATCTGTCACAGACACACACTTGTCACACACTTTACATCTGTCACAGACACACACTTGTCACAGACACACACTTTACATCTGTCATAGACACACACTTGTCACAGACACACACTTTACATTTGTCACAGACACACACTTTACATGTGTCACAGACACACACTTTACATGTGTCACAGACACACACTTTACATGTGTCACAGACACACACTTTACATGTGTCAAAGACACACACTTTACATTTGTCAAAGACACACACTTTACATTTGTCAAAGACACACACTTTACATTTGGTACAGACACACACTTTACACTTGGTACAGACACACACTTTACATTTGGTACAGACACACACTTTACACTTGGTACAGACACACACTTTACATGTGTCACAGACACACACTTTACATGTGTCACAGACACACACTTTACATGTGTCACATACACACACTTTACATTTGTCACAGACACACACTTTACATCTGTCACAGACACACACTTTACATTTGTCACAGACACACACTTTACATTTGTCACAGACACACACTTTACATCTGTCACAGACACACACTTGTCACAGACTTTACATCTGTCACAGACACACACTTGTCACAGACACACACTTTACATGTGTCAAAGACACACACTTTACATTTGTCAAAGACACACACTTTACATTTGTCAAAGACACACACTTTACATTTGGTACAGACACACACTTTACACTTGGTACAGACACACACTTTACATTTGGTACAGACACACACTTCACACTTGGTACAGACACACACTTTACATGTGTCACAGACACACACTTTACATGTGTCACAGACACACACTTTACATGTGTCACAGACACACACTTTACATGTGTCACAGACACACACTTTACATTTGTCACAGACACACACTTTACATCTGTCACAGACACACACTTTACATTTGTCACAGACACACACTTTACATTTGTCACAGACACACACTTTACATCTGTCACAGACACACACTTGTCACAGACTTTACATCTGTCACAGACACACAATTGTCACAGACTTTACATCTGTCACAGACACACACTTGTCACAGACACACACTTTACATCTGTCACAGACACACACTTGTCACACACTTTACATCTGTCACAGACACACACTTGTCACAGAAACACTTTACATCTGTCACAGACACACACTTGTCACAGACACACACTTTACATCTGTCATAGACACACACTTGTCACAGACACACACTTTACATTTGTCACAGACACACACTTTACATGTGTCACAGACACACACTTTACATGTGCCAAAGACACACACTTTACATTTGTCAAAGACACACACTTTACATTTGTCAAAGACACACACTTTACATTTGGTACAGACACACACTTTACATGTGTCACAGACACACACTTTACATGTGTCACAGACACACACTTTACATTTGTCACAGACACACACTTTACATCTGTCACAGACACACACTTGTCACAGACTTTACATCTGTCACAGACACACACTTGTCACAGACACACACTTGTCACAGACTTTACATCTGTCACAGACACACACTTGTCACAGACACATACTTTACATCTGTCACAGACACACACTTGTCACAGACACACACTTTACATCTGTCACAGACACACACTTGTCACAGACACACACTTTACATGTGTCACCGACACACACTTGTCACAGACTTTACATTTGTCACAGACACACACTTGTCACAGACACACACTTTACATCTGTCACAGACACACACTTGTCACAGACACACGCTTTACATGTGTCACCGACACACACTTGTCACAGACTTTACATTTGTCACAGACACACACTTTACATGTGTCACCGACACACACTTGTCACAGACTTTACATTTGTCACAGACACACACTTGTCACAGACACACACTTTACATCTGTCACAGACACACACTTGTCACAGACACACACTTTACATGTGTCACCGACACACACTTGTCACAGACTTTACATTTGTCACAGACACACACTTTACATGTGTCACCGACACACACTTGTCACAGACTTTACATTTGTCACAGACACACACTTGTCACAGACACACACTTTACATTTGTCACAGACACACACTTTAGTAAATAGTAAGTAAGTCATGTTTATTTATATAGCACATGTTACAGACCAAGGTACAGACCCAAAGGTTCAGAGTCAGATATTGTTCTGATCCTTCCACACACGGTGATGACAGAAGCGGGTCCAGAACACACTGGACCATCAAAGCCTCTGCCCAACACCATCATTCACTCTCTCATCTACAGTCAGACCTATGGTGCATGTTTTTAGTGGTAGGGGAAACCGGAGCACCCGGAGGAAACCTACACAGACACAGGGAGAACATGCAAACTCCACTCAGAAAGGCCCTGTTCTGACTGGGATTCAAACCCAGGACCTTCTTGCTGAGTGGTGAGAGAGCTAACCACTCAGCCACCGTGCCGCCAAGTACTATGACCCAGGACCGAGGCTGTAGACCCAGGACTGAGGCTGTAGACCCAGGACTGAGGCTGTAGACCCAGGACTGAGGCTGTAGACCCAGGACTGAGGCTGTAGACCCAGGACTGAGGCTGTAGACCCAGGACTGAGGCTGTAGACCCAGGACTGAGGCTGTAGATCCAGGACTAAGGCTGTAGACCCAGGACTGAGGCTGTAGACCCAGGACTGAGGCTGTAGACCCAGGACTGAGGCTGTAGACCCAGGACTCAGGCTGTAGACCCAGGACTGAGGCCGTAGACCCAGGACTGAGGCTGTAGACCCAGGACTGAGGCCGTAGACCCAGGACTGAGGCTGTAGACCCAGGGCTCAGGCCGTAGACCCAGGACTGAGGCTGTAGACCCAGGACCGAGGCTGGAGACCCAGGACCGAGGCTGTAGACCCAGGACTCTAACCCTAACCCTAACCCTCAGTGACATGTTTTGTGGTCAACTTTATAACAACTGCTTATGTCCCATTCTGACCACTGCCCCACTGTAGCTGTCATTCAGCCAACTTCAGCTCTGACATAGATCATTCTAAAGCTCAAATCAAAGCAGAGTTACCTCCGTGTGCCGCGGGGCAGGGCTGTGACTGTGGAGAGCTCACCTTCTTCAGCTGCAACTTTAACTTTGAGTCGATTTCTTTCATTTCTCTTTTCTTTGTTTTCAACAGAATCTCTTTAGACTTTGATCCTAACACTGACACCAGGAGAGCAGTCATGGGTTGTAATAATCTGTGAACAATCTGTAATAATCTGTAGTAATCTGTAAAAATATGTAATAATCTGTAATAATCTGTAATAATCTGTAGTAATAATCTGTAGTAATAATCTGTAGTAATAATCCGTAGTAATAATCTGCAATAATCTGTAATAATCTGTGAGTACTCTGTAATAACCTGTAGTAATCTGTAGTCATATGTAATAATCTCTAATAATCTTTAGTAATTTGTAATAATCTGTAATAATCTCTAATAATATGTAGTAATCTGTAATAATCTTTAATATTCTGCAGTAATCTAAAATAATCTGTAATAATCTGTAGTAATCTGTAATAATCTGTAATAATCTGTAGTAATCTGTAATAAGATAAGATAAGATAAGATGTGCTTTATTTATCTCACAGAGGAGAAATTTACATGTCACATTTGGCATGGAGAGAACACTCAGATTGTGCAAAGGAGGAAATGTGCAAACATGTTACATGCAGGATATATGTACAATAAAGTGACAATAATTATGTACAACAAAAGTGACAAGTGTCAATTGGAAACAGTGTCAATAGTAGTGCAGGTTTTCACACAGTGATCATTTAAAGTGACTTATTGTACAGTCTGACAGCGGTGGGGATAAAGGCCCTGCTCCTTCCTACACTGAGGGTGCCTCAGTCTTCCACTGAAGGAGCTCCTCAGCTCCTCCTCAGTCCTGTGCAGTGGGAGGTGTTGTTCATGATGGAGGTGGCTTTGACTAGCACCTCCTGTCCCTCACCTCCTCCACAGAGTCCAGGAGCCTCCTGTCCCTCACCTCCTCCACAGAGTCCAGGAGCCTCCTGTCCCTCACCTCCTCCACAGAGTCCAGGGGCCTCCTGTCCCTCACCTCCTCCACAGAGTCCAGGGGCCTCCTGTCCCTCACCTCCTCCACAGAGTCCAGGGGCCTCCTGTCCCTCACCTCCTCCACAGAGTCCAGGGGCCTCCTGTCCCTCACCTCCTCCACAGAGTCCAGGGGCCTCCTGTCCCGCACCTCCTCCACAGAGTCCAGGGGCCTCCTGGACAGTCTGTTTCTGTCCCGCTCTGTGCTGCCCGGGGCCCAGCACACGGCAGTGGAGTAAATGGCAGAAGCTTCCACAGAGTCATAAAAAGTCCTGAGCAGAGGCCTGCTCACTCCGAAGGACCTCAGCCTCCTCAGAAGGACCTCAGCCTCCTCAGAAGGACCTCAGCCTCCTCAGAAGGACCTCAGCCTCCTCAGAAGGACCTCAGCCTCCTCAGAAGGACCTCAGCCTCCTCAGAAGGACCTCAGCCTCCTCAGAAGGACCTCAGCCTCCTCAGAAGGACCTCAGCCTCCTCAGAAGGACCTCAGCCTCCTCAGTAGGACCTCAGCCTCCTCAGAAGGACCTCAGCCTCCTCAGAAGGACCTCAGCCTCCTCAGAAGGACCTCAGCCTCCTCAGAAGGACCTCAGCCTCCTCAGAAGGACCTCAGCCTCCTCAGAAGGACCTCAGCCTCATCAGAAGGACCTCAGCCTCCTCAGAAGGACCTCAGCCTCCTCAGAAGGACCTCAGCCTCCTCCGAAGGACCTCAGCCTCCTCAGAAGGACCTCAGCCTCCTCAGAAGGACCTCAGCCTCCTCAGAAGGACCTCAGGCTCCTCAGAAGGACCTCAGCCTCCTCAGAAGGACCTCAGCCTCCTCAGAAGGAAGAGGCGACTTTGGCCCTTCTTGTGCAGGGTGTTTGTATTATGGACCAGTCCAGTTTATTGTTAATGTGAACACCCAGGTACTTGAAGCTGTCCACCAGCTCAATGTCCTCCCCCTGGATGTTCAGCAGCGTGTGGGAAAGTGGTTTTCTCCTGAAGTCGATGATCATCTCCTTGGTCTTACTGGTGTTCAAGCACAAGTGGTTGCACTCACACCAGTCGACAAAGTCCTTGATAACCGACCGATATTCCAGTTCGTTCCCCTCAGACACACAGCCCACGATGGCGGAGTCGTCGGAGAACTTCTGCAGGTGACAGCTGTGTGTGTCGTGTGTGAAGTCTGAGGTGTAGATGGTGAATAATCTGTAATAATCTGTTATCATCTGTAATAATCTGTGATCATCTGTAATAATCTGTAATCATCTCTGGATCGCTCTGAGGTTTAAATATGTTTATTCTGTATTTTTAACATTTGTGTGATGTGTTTCTAAAGTGTCCTGGAGTCAGTTATTATCACAGTGATGGCCGTGGGCTGCATGTGTCTCTGCTGCCGCCGTGTGGAGGGATCGGGCGTTACAGCTTCTCTCTGTTGATGACCTGGGTCTGGGACATGTGCTATATAAATAACATGTATATAAATAACATGTATATAAATAACATGTATATAAATAACATGTATATAAATAACATGTATATAAATAACATGTGTATAAATAACATGTGTATAAATAACATGTATATAAATAACATGTATATAAATAACATGTGTATAAATAACATGTATATAAATAACATGTATATAAATAACATGTGTATAAATAACATGTGTATT